ACACCTGGTACCCCTGTCGAGGACTCCCGATTCCCCCTCCCCCCCTTCTCCTCGCACCCTCTCTTCCCCCTGCTCCCGCTCCTCCGGTACCCCCACCCCCCCCTGGTCCTGCCCCGTCAGGTAGCGTCTCCCTCCCCGCAGTCCTCCTCGCAGTCCCCTCAGCAGGCTGTGACACTTTCGCGACAGGTTACTGTGGACTCGGTTGGTGTTGGAGCTGGAGGTGCAGCCACTGGCGGTACTCGGTCTGGGGGTGCTCGTTCGAGGGGTGCTGGAGTTGGAGGTGCTGGCGCAGGTGGCGCTAGCCCTGGGGGTGCTGGAGCTGGAGGTCCTGGCACTGGAGGTGCTAGTTCTGAGGGTGCTGGAGCTGGAGGTGCTGGCACTGGAGGTGCTAGTTCTGGGGGTGTTGGAGCTGGAGGTGCTGGCATGGGAGGTGCTAGTTCTAGGGGTGCTGGAGTTGGAGGTCCTGGCACTGGGGGTGCTAGGACAGGGGGCGCTGGAGCTAGGGACCCTAACCCTGTTGGTACCCCTTCTGGGGACGCTTGTACTGGGGGTGCTAGTTCCGAGGCGACTGGAGCTGGGGGCACTACGTCTGCGGAGAGCACTCCGCCTCCCCACCGCCACGACACGCGTTACCAGGCGGCCTACTGTCGTGCGCGCAAGGAGCAGGAGCGGTTGGAGCGGGAGCGGCAGGAGTTGCGGCAGCTGGACCTGCTGGAGCAGCAGCAGCAGCGGCAGCAGCAGCAGCAGCGGCGGCAGCCGCAGCAACAGCCACCACAGCCACAGCAGCAGCAGCAGCTGCCGCCGCCACCGCAACCGCAGCAGCTCCCTCTGGAGCGGCAGTTGTTCCCAGTCGTGAGTGGCCTCCGGGCCCTTGGTCTTCCCTCCTCTCCTTCTGTCCGCTCTCCGTCTCCTCCTGCGTTTGGTCCTACGTTTTCTCATCCTGACGCCCGTCCGGTGGTCTGGTCTTCTCCTCCACTGCAGTCTCCTCCTCCTGTTTTCCGTCACTACCGTTCCCGTCCTTGTCCTCCGAGTGCTCATCCCTCGTCCCCCGTTACCGACCTCCACACTGCCCTCCTTTGTACCTCTCTTCGTCGTTCTCCTCCTCCGGTGTCTGTTCTCCCGTCTCCTCCTCCGTCTTCTCTTCCTGCCTCCTCTACACCTATCTCCAACTGCTACCGTGCTGTTCGCCCTATCGTCTCCCGCGTTCTAGCCACTGGTGTCACTGACCCTCGTTTCTCTCCGTCGTGTGTCTCGGCTCTCACTGCCGCTGTCCCTCGTGTGGTGCCCGCTCTGCCTACCCGTCCTTTGTCCGTCGGGGGTGAGTTTGCCCTTGGCTGTGACGTCCTAGAGGACCGGCACTCTGAGCTGGAGTACCTGGCAGCCGCTTCTCCCACTCTCTGTGCCATGCTGCTTTCCCCTGAGGGAGACCCCGACGCCCTTGACATACCGACTCCTTGCACGTACCATGAGGCAGTGTCAGGGCCGTGGACCTCTTAGTGAAAGGCGGCCACAGACTCAGAGTTGGCGTCTTGGAGATCCACAGGCACGTACGTCGACGCAGTTCCCCCTCCTCGGGCGAACGTAGTCGATGGCATGTGGCTCTTCAAGGTGAAGCGGCCGCCTGGATCACCCCTGGTGTTCAAGGCGCGCTATGTGGCGAGAGGCTTCAGTCAGCGCGAGGGAGTTGACTTCTTTCAGACCTTCGCTCCGACCCCGAAGGTGACTACACTTCGGGTGTTACTACACGTAACAGCACAGCGTGACTACGAGCTCCACTCCCTCGACTTCTCCACTGCCTTTCTCCAGGGACGATCGCACGAGGAGATCTGGCTGCGCCGTCCTCCCAGTTTCACTGGTACTTTCTCTCCTGGGACCCAGTGGAGCCTGAGGCGACCAGTCTACGATCTTCGCCAGTTGCCCCGTAAGTGGCACGACACTCTTCGCTCCACTCTTTGTGACCTAGGGTTTCGCCCTTCCTCTGCTGACCCGTCACTGTTTGTTCGTGCCGGCTCCACTCCTTTCTTTATACTCGTCTACGTCGACGACTTGGTCTTTGCTACACCAGACAGGGCAGCTCTGGCTGAGGTGAAGTCCGAACTATAGAAGAGACACACGTGCACTGACCTTGGTGAACTGCAATGCCACCTTGGCCTGCAGATCACCAGGGATAGAGCCGCTCGCACCATCACGTTGATGCAGTCACACATGGTGCAGCAGGTCCTTCAGCGGTTCGGGCTTCAGCACTCCACCACACAACCCACTCCTGTTGCTGTAGACCACAGACTCACCGGCACCTTCCCCGACGAGCCCTTTGAGCCCAGTGGTCCCTACCAGGGCTAATTTTTTGTTTTCAACAACCCTTGTGATCAGTGTTGCACAAGTCCAAAAACCTGATTATCAGTGTGACACCTTGTTCAAACCCTGATCCATTAGGTTTTTCCTAGTTTTTGAAAATTATACCCTGTAGGATCAGTGTACCAGTTTTGCAAACCCTGGTGTATTGATATTATCGTTGGCAGGCAATAACGAAACTGTATTTCTGGCCAATGGAGGCCCTCCTCATGCCAGCTCAGATATTGCATTTGCCAGATTTCAGTTTCGACAGTTGGCATGGGAGAATGTTGGGTTATGGGAAAGGGGGGGGTGGGGTAGAGGGGGGGGGGGGGGGGGGGAAGGGGGGGGTGGCTTGGGGAGGATATGTAATCGATTAACGGTAAATCTCGTTACAAAGTTCGGTAACCCTGGGCCGTCAGTGTACCTTCAACGTAAACCCTGGCCTATCAGGAAATTACAAGCTTCTGAAAAAAAAACCCTAAGGCATTAGTGTGATAGCCAAAAACCACCCTGATTATCATTTACCCTGATAAAATTAGGCCTGGTCCCTACCCAGAGCTTGTTGGCTGCCTCATGTACCTGATGACCTGTACTCGCAAGGACCTCGCCTACCCTCTTAGTGTCCTCTCTCGCTTTGTTGGACCCAGGAGACACCGTCCTGTTCACTGGACGGCTGCCGTGAGGGTGGCGAAGTACCTGGCGACTACATCAGGCATGGGGCTTGTGCTTGGAGGGACTCGGCCAGTTGAGCTGACTGGCCTCTATGACTCTTCTTACGCTGACGACGTAGAGACTCAGCGCTCGACCCAGGGTTACTGATTCAGTCTGGGAGCAGGGGCTGTGTCGTGGAGGTCCACACGGCCGTCGTCGGTGGCTTCGTCCAATGCAGAGGCAGAGATCTACGCCGGTGCTATGGCTGCTCAGGAGCTTCGCTGGTTGACCTTCTTGCTCGTTGACCTTGGGGAGCGACCTCGCACTGCTCCGACCTTGTTCGCTGACAACAAAGCCATGATTATCTTGTGTCGCGAGCCGCGACTAGAGACCAGAGTGAAGCACATCGACGTCCGGTACTTCCTCCTGCGTGAGCTCCAGCGACGCGGCCAGGTGCGCATGGACTTTGTGGCCTCAGAGGCCAACACTGCTGACCTCGTCACCAAGGCCTTGGCGCCTGGTGATCACCACCGATTCTGTGTGCAGTTAGAGCTTGTTGAGGCAGGTCCTCGGTTGCTGTAGCCTTGTTGCTTAGTCTGCTTGTTGTACTTTAATATTATATATCCTAGTGAACTCTTGAACTAGCCTTGTGGCTGCTTGCTTGTGCTCGGAATTTGTGTGGTGACCGTTTGTTCATCCTACTTGCTTTGATGCCCCTCACTTAGCCTATGGGGGTGTGTCAAATGTTGATATTTGTGCTAGGCTATAGTGAGGTGCTACTTAGTGAGTACAACTCAGTTAGGGTTTGCTATTTGTATCACCCACATTCATAATCTCATCATTCCGTTGCAATCTTACTTTGAGAGTAAAGCTCACCTTCGAGAGCGTACGCACGTACGTAGTGTATACCTATTTTTTTCAGCCAGTTATAAACAGATTGTATGATCGAATTCCATACTTTGACCCACACAATAGTTTCTGAATCCCACTTAATTTCACACCACTGTTTTCATGCAGAGGCACCTGTCGCCAGCAGCGAGGCGAGCAACAAAGGAGCCGAGGAAAAGCTCCACCTGCAGCTGAGAAGGCACTGCATCAGCAGCCACCTGCAGTTGGCCCAAGAGAATCAACGCAAGGGCAGGGAGAGAAAGTCGCCAAGGTGAAAGAGCAGAGAGAGAGAGCGAGTGAGTGAGTGAGTGAGTGAGTGAGTGAGTGAGTGAAAGGGCAGGGAAAGGAAGTCACCCAGGTGAGGCGAAGCGGAGAGGAGAGGAGAGGAGAGGAGAGGAGAGGAGAGGAGAGGAGAGGAGAGGAGAGGAGATGAGATAAGAGGAGGGATTAGGAGGGTATGCCTGGCTTGAGTTGGTCTGTTGGGCTGCAATGGAAGGAGAGCCAAGCTGGTTAGAGTTCGAGGAAACTTACGGTAGAACGAACTACGGTAAGTGTTTTTTCTTTAGGGCAAGACGTGAAGTTGGACCGTGGAGGCTATGGATGTGTTAGCGAACGCATCTAGAGAATGGTTTCATTGGGTTATGTAGAAAGCTCACTTCTTTAAAGCCATGTCTTTCATAAAAGGCCGTCCTGCCACATTTGTCACACAGAAAGTGAGGAGCACACACAGACAGGCCAAGGCACAGGTGACGGCGACAAAAAAATGCACAAGTATTGTCACCGTCACATTGTGCAGAGTTCAGGAATGGGGAGAATGTAGAAGCAGCGTATGGCAAAAGACAAGAAATCGTGGAGAAACAGAAAACAGGGGAAGGAGCTGGTGGAGAGGAATAGGTAGTGCGTTTTCTATTGAAAATGAATAGGTAAGAGTAGAAGGGAAGAGAGAAGGGTGGAGGGTAGGGAAGGGGAGGGAGAATGCGCGGGAGCAGGATTGGAAGCACACACTTGGCTCCTCCTGGATTGAAAAGCGAGTAGCACCTGTGTGCACACAATAAGATCGCACCTGTGTATTACAAGAATATAGGTATCTGCTTGCTCACTATAAGCTCACTATTTGAACAATATGATTACCTGGCTCCTATAGTGAGCAAGTGCACGGCGCCTCTGCCTTGCACTGACTTGAGCAGCTCTGATACCAATGCGGATCCAATGCCGCGGCCTCTGGCAGAAGGGAGGACACGGGGAGATGGAGTGGCGGAGGTAGAGAGGAGTGCAGAGCGATTGGAAAGGAAAGGGTTGACCTGGGTAAGGGCAGGCAGAGGAAGGAGTGGTGTCGCGGGGGGAAGGGATGGGCGTATACTGCCATGGAAAGCTGAAGTTATCGGATTCTTGCCCAGTGTCGTGTCCTTTCCAGTGACTTGTTCAGACTCTTGCCCAGTGTCGATTCCCGGTGCCTTGTTTTTCCCCAGTGCCTTGTTTCTCCCGGTGTCTTTCTGAGGCCCATGAATCCCAGATCTTACCGCATTTCTGGTAGCACCACGAGGCTCCTCAACTCAACAAGAGGCCCGGCTCCTGTCCTCGCTTCACCCTCCTTCTTCCACTCCTTCATCTGTCCCACGCCCACCAACCGCCAACCTGCTTCGTCCCCCCCATTCTTCCCCTTCTCCCCTGCTCCTGTTCCCTCTTCTGCTGCTGTTGCTGTTGCCTCTGCCACCACAAACCGCCGGACGTCCAGGCTGAGTGGATTCATGCTGTTTGGTGGTGAGAAAAAGGTGAGGGGCAGAGCAGGGGAGGGGCTGAGGAGGGGAGGGGAGAGAGATACTTATTCCAGAAGCAATATTTGTAGGGGAGTTCAATACTTGACGACAAACACATTCCGAGTATGATGTAGAAAGATTCTTAAGGAATATATTAGAGAGCGTAGCGATAGCGAGAGAGTCTCTGCTATGGGAATGATGTTGCGCCAGCAACTTGGTAGAGTTTTGGTAGCGTTTGCCTCTAAGGACTTTGTGAGAATTGAAGTAGCATTTGGGCCAAGTAGAATTGCAATATCAATTATCAAACACACAAGCAAACACAAACATATATAGGCAAGCAAGAGTTGCACAATTGTTGCGTGGCGCTGCGAGTAACCCAACCCACACGAAAGTGCTGTGCAGGTGGGTGAACGCGCCCCGCACATTTCCAACCCAACTCGGCACCGGAATGTCTCACCGTGCACGCTACTCCTGCCAACACAGCAAGTGAGCAGCGTGCCTCACAAGCAAGGCACCTACGACCCCCAAGACTCGTCATTCCTAGCACCGATTCCGCCGAGTTCGCTGCAGTAGCTCACAGTCACCCGTAGTCACTAATGACCGCCACCGAACTCGTGCGTCGGTGCCGAGTAGGCGCCGACCTGCCAAGTCAAAGGTCATCGAGGGCCCTTGCTGTCGTAGGGCCCTCTAACAGATTCAGTAAATGATCAAGCAACAAACGAATGAGTGAGTGAGTGAATGGTTGATAAATGAAAAAAATCTAAGTCCAACCACGTCAATGCAGCAAATGATGAGATTCAGAGCACAGTTAAGACGCATTACAATTCAGACAACACCAGCCGTTGGATCGTGCCCATGTCCTCGGGAACGGCTGGGCGGAACCGGATGGCTGGGAGGGCAGATGCGGATACGCGGAGGGGCGCGGAAGAGCGCGGGGAACAGGCGGATTCTTTCCATTGTGCGATGCCCCCAGAAAGAGAAGATGCCAGAGGAAGTGACGCAAGAGAATTCGGGGACGTGCGGGTAACGGCACGTGCCGCATTGCGCGGGGACGTGCGCGGGGCAATGCGCGCCGAATCCAATGTCGCGACACGAGGGGAGCAGAGTGAGGAAACGGCGGCCATTGGGCTGCCGGCGGAATACGAGGGATGCGAAAGAACGTGGAAGGCGCAAGGCGGCGGGCTGAAATGGAAGCGGACGAGCTGAAGGGCGGAACGTTGGAAGAGTGGTGGGGAGGGAAAGGAAATTCTTCCGTCAACTAGAAAATGTCGAGACGAGAGACAAGACTTGTGGGAGTGCAGATTGTGTTGTGGTTCTCTTGATTCGGAATTCTTGCGATTCGATACAAGGAGAAAGCGCGAATTGAAACCTCTACACGACTTGAGAGAAAGTGAGTGCACAAAAGGCTCTGTTTTTTTTTAGTGAAGTGGCTAGTCATTGAATCTGAGTCCCACACAAGCTTGAAAGAGACGTTCATAATAAGTTTCCTAGAATCGTTCCCCACTTCAACGATTGCACAAGCTTCACTACTTTGTACCCGCCTGACTACCACCATTTGATGCGAACAGGCGGATTAGTGGAAGCAGTGCCTCGGGCCTCTCTTCATGAATGGCATGCCCTGCTCCTTCCACTATTGCCACATTCACAGCACCACCCGTTTCAAGCACAGCCTTGGCTGCTGCTATTGGGAGCATCGATGCCTTGTCGTTTGTGGATGGTTCTGGAGACGGCATACCTGAGCCAAGGTGGATCGGAAAGTGGGTGAAGAGGAAAAGGGAGGAACCGACAAATGGTGGGGAGGGGAGGTATGGTTGATGGAGGGAGCACAGAAGGAGAAACAACGAAAGTATGGAGTAGTGTGAGACACAAACAAATGGTACTTGATATGCATGATAAACCGTGGTAATCCATGATAACCCATGCTTACCTGGAGCAGCGCCAAGGGATTCCTCTAAATGCACTCGCTTCATGTCTGCCGCCCAAGCACCATCAAACCTGCTACGCCGCTTCCCACTACCATCACCACCACTCCCACCCGCACTCCCATTAACCCCAATCTCCTCTTCAAAATCGTCCCCTTCCCCCACCACATCCCCCTCGTACTGCTCCTCCTCCTCCTCCCACACCTGCCCACCCAGGATAGCAGATTTGAAGGCTGCAACACTAGGCAGGTTGAGGGAGAAAGGAAAGTCTGAGTCAAGGCTCTCCACTGGAGAACCAGATGGGAAGAAAAGCTCCTGCTCCTCCTCCTGCTCCCCCTGCTCCTCCTGCTGCTGCTGCTGCAGTTCCTGCTGCAGGGTGCTGGCACGGCCGCTGCTTGAAGCTGCTGCTGCTGCTGGGGCAGCTGCAGCGGTGCACATCTGGTGTGCAATGGAGGCGAACTTGGAGTCCAGAGAGCCAGCCACGAGCAGCAGCGGGTTGGAGGCGGTGGTCAGCTTGTCCCAGAGAGACCTGCGGAAGGGAGGGAGGAGGGTACACATTTGGCTGAAATGGTGAAGGGCCTGCCAAGACGTCTCCTAACATACGGAGCGTGACTGGATTGGCGAACTTGGAGTCGAAAGAGCCAGCCATACGAGCAGCAGCGGGGTAGAGGTGGTGGTCTATTCGTCCCAGAGAGACCTGCGTGGTTGCAGGCGGACACACACACACGCCCACGTGTGTCATAGTCGGCAAACATGGGACTGAACATGCCGACTATGTTCAAACACTGAACATGCCGACTATGTTCAAACACTGAACATGCCGACTATGTTCAAACACTGAACATAAGTGAAACTTTCAGTCTGAAAGCAGGGGGCCACGGGAACATCACTGGGCATATAATTTCAGTGCGTTGGTGCCCTCTCTCTGTGTGTCCCATGTCTTTCATTCCCGTTTCTCATTACACACCCCAATCAAACACAATTCACTCACATGCAGGCAATGCCTGCTCGTCCCAGTGGCACTCATCCAAAGATTTCCTTGCCCCATAACCTCGAACAGTACGTTCACTTCCATAGCACTCACTCGGTCATGCATGCCAAATCGCATTCATACCTCAGTCATGAATGCTCAAACCGCACATATGTCTGTGTCTTCCGGCCGGCTCACAGCTCTCATAAGAGCGACACAGCAGGACCAAAATACAACCCAGAACAGGAATCTGGAAACCAGAAACTGGAAACCGTGGAAAGCAAGTGCTGAAAGTTTCAACTGAGAACGTACGGTTGTCGTCCGGTGCTGAGTCCCGTGAGAGCCATGGCCAGGCCTGCCTCCGTGCCCCCAGGAAACACCACCATTGGTGGATCGGTGCCGTCAGTGGGGGGAGGGGTGGGGGAGGTGGACGGAGAGGAGGCGAAACGGCGGGCGAGCATGGGCTGGAAGCATGGGTGGGCGCGCAAGCTGTTCGGGGGGTGGGGGGAAAAGAGAGAGAGAGAGAGGGAGGAGAGCGAGGGTTGTTAACACAAGGGGGGTGGGTGGGGTGGGGAGGTGTATTTTGTAGAGGGTGGTTTCATGCGCTTTAAGAAAGGGAGCATGGGATGAGGGAGTGGACTCATGTGCAACCTCATGCACGGATCTGTACACATGGCAGAAACACTATCCAGAAGTTGTGATGTCTCCAACCTAGAAGCCTCAAGGTATAGGTTGTGATTCACTTGACTCTCTCACGGCCCACAGTGGTTGCTGGTACCACGAGTGAACATACTGCTCCAGCCCACCAGCCGTCAGCACCGCTGCTAGACAATCAGCACTCTCCCCAACTAGCTCTCAATCTATTTATCAACAAAAAATCTCGAAGCAGGAGAAGATTTGCCGTACCTGGCCCACAGTGGTTGCTGGTACCACGAGTGAACATACTGCTCCAGCCCACCAGCCGTCAGCACTGCTGCCAGTGAATCGTCACTCTCTGCACGAGAGGCACGCGCAGCCGCTTCTCTAATCCCCGGGCTTCCTGATATGATGACTGCTGATGAGACCTGCGAGAACACGGCGTAGGCATGCCAAGGGTGCGGAGGGGAGTGTATGGCATGTGCCATGTGGGGTGGGGATCCGAGACGAATGAAGTTGGGGATGGGGTAGCGAGGTGGAATGAGGGAGGACTGATAAACAACCGCTGGTTTTGGGGCCCCTCAGAAAGTGTTTCAAGGATTGTTCACGAGGGTCATACAAATTGTTTCAAGGAGAGTGGGTTCTGCTTTCACCAGGTGTGGATGGCGGAGATGCAGATAGAGGGCGAGAGGAGCCTTCATTATTTTGTCAAAGATTGAGGCGCCGAAAGAAATTGGCGAGTGGGCATGGTGCATGTTGTCTCACCAGGTGTGGATGGCGGAGAGCTAAGTAGAGAGCGAGACGCGCCCCCATGGAGTATCCCACGAGCACTACCTTTCCTTGTTGCTGCTGCTGCTGTGCTGCTGGGGTTTCTTGCAGGCAGGCAAGCAGGGATGCAAGAGCCGACGCTGTTTCTTCAAATGACAATGCCGGTGGTGATGGGTGCAATGCGGTGGTGGGATGTGCAGGGAGGGCGACAGTGGTGGAGCCATGGCCGGGTAGGTCTATGAGGGCGCAAGGGAAGGAGAGAGCGAGGGAGTCGGCAAGGGGAAGCCAGTCTGCATGCGAGCCCAGGAAACCGTGCAGGAAGACGAGAGTTGGTGGGGGGGTGGCGGGAGGGAGAGACAGTTCGGAGGGAGAGAGGGGAGAGTCTGGGGAGGAAAGTGGGGAGGACTGTGGGGAGGAGTGTGAGGAGGAAGAATGCGAGGAGGGAGTTGTTACACGGATGTTGAAGTCAACCGTTCCGCCATTGCTTAGCGCGACTGTTTCTCTGCGTTCTTCCCACTTTGGACTGGCTGCTGCTGCTAACTCTGCTGCTCCTTCTGCTGTCGATTCTGCCTCTTTCCCTATTGTTGCTTCTTGATCACTGAAAGCAGCTCTCCCCCTTTCTGCCCCCACAACAGCAGCTGAATCTGACGTGTCAAGCACTCCACAGGCCAGCATCCCACTAGCCCGACCAACATCGGATCGCGCAGAAAGCAGCACCCCAAGCTGGCCGTCTGAACTCCTCTCATCAACCAAGAGAGGAGGATGACGGGAAACCCTAAACCCCGCTTCTGCATATGCGCTTCTCGGCGCTTCCCTCTCCCCTTCTTCACCCTTCCCCTCCCCCTCCCCCTCCCCCTCCCCCTCCCCCTCCCCCTGCTCCTCCTCCCCTCCTGATCCATCCACAAGCCACTGAAAAGTACCCAGACCGTGAGCCACAGAAGTGGGAGAAGCAGGAGGAGACTCAGCAGGACTCAACGCACTAGAATCCTGTGCTTGCGGTTGCGGGGACGGGAACGGGTGCGTGTCGAGGAATGCAGCAAAGTGGCAGAGCGAAGCAAGCCCATGTTGGGACTCAAACGACGAGCTCACGACACACTCCGCGCCGAGCAACGCCGCCCACCTCGCCACCACTGCCGCCGCCTCCATGCCGCCCAGTCTAGACGGCTTCACAACGACTGCCGCCAATCCGGACCAGTCGAGAGAGGCGGGGAGTGCGAGCGTGGGAGTGTCATGGGAAGGCGGGAGGAGAAGCGCGTCATCAAGAGACTCATCCAGAGCGAAAGGGAGACCCGTGGCTTGGTAGAACTCGGGAAGGAGATGCAGATTCGGGACCGGCTCTTCTATAAACGCCAGGTTGCAAGGTGCTACAAGCCGGCCGAATTCCACAGCTTGCGGCAATGACCAGCTTCTGTTTGCATCGACTCTGAGGTGGATTCTCGGGCCTACTGCTTCTCGGACAGCCAGCACCATTGCTGCGTCTTCTGCTGGGGAAGGGCGTCTGGCCACTTTGATTTTGATGGCGGTGAAGCCGAGGGAGTGGACTAGGTGTGCTGCTGCGCGGGCCACGGAGGGAATGGACCCCCTGGAACCGTCCAGCAGCCCGCAGCACCGCACTCGCACCCGGTGGGTCGGCTCCAGGGGTTGTTTTCGAGGAGGGGGGAGTAGCATCGAAGGAGGAGGAGGAGGAGCGGGAGTAGTAGTAGTAGGAGGAAGAGCAGGGGATTGCGAGAGGAGGTGGGAGAGGGAGGTGTTGTGGGCAGAAGCTATGGCAGAAAGACATGCGGCCTCGAGACCAGCCCGCACACTGGAGTATAGAGATGCTGGCTGCTTGGAGGGGAGGGGATGGGGAGAAGGGGGGGGTTGGGAGGTTACGCGATTAATGAGTCGACTAAAAAAGGCAGAGAGGCATGCAGCCTCCACACCAGCCCGCACACTGGAGTATAGAGATGCTGGCTGCATGGAGGGGGAGGGAAGGGGGGGGAAGTGCGAGGGCGGGTAGGAGAATGGGAAGATGGGGGAGAGAGAGAACAGAAAAGCCAGTCGGAAATCAAGGGGGAAGAGACTTTGTGGTGGGAGCAGGTTGACGGGGACGGTGGGAAGGAACGGGGTGTGTGTGAGTGAGGGTAGAGGGGCTGGATGAGGCGGTAGGAAAGGGTAGTGTTGGAGGGGAAGCAAAGGAGAAGTTGCAGCCCGAATTCTGAGACCACTGAACACTGACACCATTCACATTCACACCTGAATGCGGAGAGCATCTTTGAGGCGCCTAAAAGAGAAAGAACTCAGAGACCGTTCCCACCTGAATGCCGAGAGCGTGCCATATCCAGAGGGAGAAGGATCCATTAAGCAGCGGCAGGGAGAGCGGCAGGGCGAGGCCTGGGAGGCGGTGCGAGAGCAGGCACAGCTGCTCGTGCGCGTCTAGGAGGGACTCTGGATGCAAGCCTGGGAGAGGGGAGACCTGTGGGATGGGGGAGGATGTGGGCGTGTTGTGCGTGGGTTCTTTCAGAACATACAAGAGCAGGCACAGCTGCTCGTGCGCGTCTAGGAGCGACTCTGGATGCAAGCCTGGGAGAGGGGAGACCTGTGGGATGGGGGGGAGGGTCCGGGGAGCATTGCAGGAAGAACAGGGAACAGTATTGTGGGAGAGCAGACACAGCTGCTCGTGAGCGTCTAGGAGCGATACCAGATGCAGACCTGAGCCAACTACTGCGTCGGCTGAAAAGTCAAAAGTCAACTCAAGAGTTGACTCAGAAGTCAGCTGCTCACGCATGTCTAGGAGCGATACCGGATGCAGACGGGGGAGAGGGGAAACGTGCGACTGCAGGACGTGTTGAAGGGCTTTGTTAGTAGGACTCAAGAAGCTGCTCGTATTATTGAGACCATCCCCACCCACAACACCACCCACACCACCCACACCATCCACACCATTCACACCATTCACACCATTCACACCATTCACACCATTCACACCATTCACACCACCCACACCACCCACGCCTTTTCCCATACGTCGCCTGCGTCCAGAGCCCCATTCTTTCAAACAATTACAGGACCATCAATCAAAACCATGTCACCCCACCCCACCATTCCACCACCCACTCCTCTCACAACCTACCTCGCCTGTGCCCAGCCCTCCCCCCTCCAGCCGCACGTGCAGCAGCAACCCCTCTCTTTCTGACTGTGACAGTGCTGCCCCAGACACAGCCACTGACGTTGGGGGCTCCCTCAGAACAACCCTGGTGGGAAGCAAAGGACGGGAGGTTGGAGAGGCAGGGAAGACGGAGACGAGGGAAGTGGGAGAAGGGAGCAAGCGGACAGGAGGTGAGGCTAGGGAGGGATGCTGTGAAGACAAGGGAAAGACAGAGATGCTTTTGAAGGGAAGCAGAGGGGATGGATGGAACGGAGGCGGGGAAAGGAACAAGGGGAGGAAAGACGAAACAAACCAAGCAAGGATGTCAGCAACATGCACAGGGTCAACAAGGATGCTAGCAACATCAAGCAGCGTGCTAAAAGCACAGGCCCTCCCTTTTCAACACCTCCCCTCCCACTCCTCCCCTCCATTTCCCTTTCCCCCTTCCCTGTCCTTCCACTCACCTGATTCGTTCAATACTGGTCTCTGCCACAACAAGTGACCCACTCTTCCTCCCACCACCCCCCTTCCTGCTCCCCTCTTTATTCCCCTCCCTGGTCCCCTCTCCGCTGCCGTCTCCTCTCTCGCCACCAGCATCCCCCTCTCCCAACCCAACCCCTTCCCCTCCTCCGTCACCCTCCCTTTCAAACCCAGCATGCCCGTCCCTCTGGCTCTGAAACAGCGAGAGAGCACGGCCAGCAGTCGCCCTAGCAGCGGCCTGCAGGAGGCGGTGGGAGAGGACGTTGAGGTGGATGGGGGGCGCCTGCACCTCCACCACCGCGTGGCGATGCGTGGCCCACGCTGCCTGCAGGGACGAGAGGAGGGCGGCACGTGTAGTAGCTCGGAAATACGCCACTCTGAGGGAGGGAGGGGAAGGGGAGAGGGGGGAGGGGGGGGTAGAGGGTATGCAAGGGAGGGAGGAGGGGAAAAGGGGGGCGAAAGTGGGAAGAAGAGGATTTGGGGTCGGTAAAATGAACTGCAAGGGCATGTGTGCTTTATGGAACGTACGGGCCATATATTCCTGGCATGTGTTGTTTCCATTGTCTGCCTGACAGGACGGGTGCTGGCTGTTAGAAATAGTCAGTCAACACTTTGTACTATATTCTATATCGGTTAGGTTACTTTGTAGGTTGGGTGTAGATTTGTAATCCCAACCCTATCTGGTTGGGATTCCCTCGTAATCCTGCAAATCTGCCAACTCACCAATTGGAGATTTGCTAGGATTCCCATCCCATCCTCTCCCTAGCTTTGCTCAACCCAACCGTGTTTGTACTTAAGGCCTCGTGCCTTCCTTATCAATCAATCAGTTAAGTTCCAATTCTATCATGGTATCGAGCTAGTAAATTCCGCTCACGCGGAATCCGATCCTTGGCGTCCCGATGGTTCTCTCCTTCTAGGCTATGCCTATTTCGGCTCCCGGCTCCTACGCTTAGCGTATTTCAGAAACTTCACATCGTCGCTCCGTTCAAGTGCGCATTCGGCTTCCTTCATCGCGCTTCTCGTTTTTCAACGGCGACATTTTCAGCTTTCGACTTCCTTCATCGTAAGCCTCTGGTTTTTCAAATCTCCGTCGAAAATTTCACATCTTCTTAACTTCGAACATGTTTTCAGCGGCGCAGCAGAACAGGTCCAGCGGCGCAGCGGAACAGGTTTTCAGCGGCGCAGCGGAACAGGTTCAGCGGCACAGCAGAACAGGTTTTCAGCGGCGCAGCGGAACAGGTTCAGCGGCGCAGCAGAACAGGTTTTCAGCGGCGCAGCGGAACAGGTCAGCGGCGCAGCAGAACAGGTCAGCGGCGCAGCAGAACAGGTCAGCGGCGCAGCAGAACAGGTCAGCGGCGCAGCAGAACAGGTCAGCGGCGCAGCAGAGAAGCGGAACAGGGGCAGCAGCGAAGCAGAACAGGGGGCATCGGCGAAGCAGTATAACAGGGTATTTTACGGGCATTCTATTGCCGAAATCGCATTTCGGACTTCCTCAATTCCTCATTTCGGCATTCTATTTCGCTCTGCTACGTATCGGAGACTTTAGCGCTGCGCTCCGCGCGAAATGGCAACTTCTACTTCCACTCTCGTCGGAAACCTCATCATCCTTAACCTCGCTCCCAACGGCACGAGCACCAACTTCGGGGAGTGGTGCTATGGAGTGGAGAAGCACCTCCTTAGCTCGGAGCTCAAGGGGATTTGCCTCAAGGACATCCTCCTCAACCGCGGCAAGGGGAAGATGCCTCTCCCTCCCGATCCTCTCTGTGAAGGCGCCACTCCCACAGCCAAGAGCGCTTTCGATGCTAAGACCACCAAGTATGAGACGGAATTTAGTCTCTGGGAGCAGGCGGACGCGGCAGTGATTAGGGTTTTCATCACCACCACCCCAGTTGAGTTAGTCAAGTCCTACCGCACCTTCCGCTCTGCGCATGACATTTGGAAGTACCTCCAGGATCGTTTTCATGACAAAACTGCCGTGGGAGTTGCAATCCTCATTCCTCGCATGTTCCAAATCCGCCTTGAGGAATGCCCGGGCATGGCAGATTACATCTCTGAAATCCGCAACATCCATGAGGAGCTCAAGGACATTGGGATCACCTTCCCCGAACAAGCACCTGCTGCTGATCATCTCGTCGGACTCACCCCGGCCTACAACGTCACCAGTTCCATGCTCAAGCAGCTCCCCACCAAGGAACTCACCTTCGAGAAAGTCGCTTCGGCCCTCCTCTCTGCGGAAAAGGACCTTGCAGCCCAGGCATCAGTCAATGCTGTGCGCTACTCCCCTGGCATTCCATTTCGTTCCCAGCAGGGCCAGAGGCGCAACTCCTTTCCCCCATGCCAGTACCTCATTCGGAAGGGTCCACGTGCGGGGCAGAAGTGCAACGGCACCAACCACCCTGAGGCCACTTGCTTCAAGAAGCGAGATGACGAGTGGTATGACGTCCATGGTGTATCCAAGGACAAGCGCCCTCCCAACTGGGCACCACCCCGTCGCGTGAACCAGGTCGAGGCAGTGGAGGAACCTGCTCAGGCATTTGCTAGCGCCCCATCTGATGTTCGCCTTAACCTGTTGTTCTCTGGTGCTGGTCTTATTAATGAGAAGGGGTCGCAGTACATCGGTGTTTCAACCACACAGGGAATCGAGTTCATACTAGACAGTGGTGCCACCCATACAGTGCTTAAAGACCAAACTGCCTTCGTTCCCTATCAGGCTCCCACCTCACTCCTTGGAGCAGATTCTAGCTTCTCCATCCAATGCCATGGCTCCTCCACAGTTTCCTGTCCAGCATTCCCATCTGGCACAGTCACTGGCATCTGTGCCCCAACCCTCCGCTACAACCTTCTTGCACAGCGGGAAATCCAACACGCAGGCGTGATCACCATCTTTCCCAATGATGTTGACTACTGTGACATGTTTGACGCCAAAACCGGACTCCATCTTGCCCGCTTCACCCTCAACTCCAACAACCTGTACACACTAGTTGTACCTCCCGTTCAAACATGCTCCCTCACCAACCTTCCGCTTCCATCCTTAGACTCCCCCTCATGTCACTGCCGCCTCCTCACTGACAAGACTATGCTATTTCATAACCGCCTCGGCCACATCAACTTCCGCGCACTTTCCGACCTTGCCACCAAGCAACTCCTTCATGGACTGCCCGCCTCACTTCCACAACCCCCCTCTCTTTCTGGTCCGCCTTGCCTTGACTGTGCACAGAGCAAGCTTCGGGAACAGCCCCATCCTCCCACTGAGTCCATCTCTACCGCACCTCTCGATCGCGTACACATGGACCTTTGGGGTCCAGCTCCTATTCGTTCCCGTGGCGGACACTTCTACTTCCTTGTCATCGTCGATGACTATTCCCGCTATGTGTCCGTTCACCTTCTCACCGCCAAGTCTGAAGCCCCTGCCATCATCATGGATGGGCCAGGCAGGCTCATTCACACTTCAAAACCAAAATCAAGTTTCTTCACTCTGACGGTGGCGGTGAATTCCGCAACAACACTCTCAAAGCGTTCTGCTCTACTGAGGGTATCAAACAGACCTTCACTCTCCCAGACAGCCCTCAACAGAACGGTGTTGCTGAAAGCCGAAACCGCATCCTGGTGCAGATTGCTCGCTGCCTCCTCACTCATGCTTCCGCCCCGCCCTCTCTTTGGGGACGCCATGCTCCATGCTGCCGCCCTCCACAATCTCTATCCTCATCCTCACCACACCCACACCACCCCCGCAGAGCTATGGACGGGTCAAAAGCCGTCCGTCCGCCCTCTTCGTGTATGGGGGTGCACTTCCTATGTCCTATGTCCTATGCACTTCCTCCTCAACTCCCAAGCCCGTCGTGCAGCTGGCGGCAAGCTTGCTCCGAAAACAATCACGTGCGTGTACCTCGGGCACAACCTGGACTCACCAGACTACCTCTTCCTCCATCCTACCACCAACAAACTCTATCGCAGCCGAGATGTTTTCTTCGATGAATCCCACCCATTCTACCCCTCCTCCACAGTTTCTCCTTCTCCTCCTCTTTCTCTAACTTGGGCTGACTTTGACAGCCTTCCTCCTGCCACCACTCCATCTCCTCCTCTTCCCGCTCCCTCCACAGTTTCCGACCCCCCGTCACCCGCTTCCCCATCCAGCACCACGCAGTCTCCCCCGCTCCTTCCCGCCCCCGAGCCCATTCCTCTCAAAACCTACCAACGCCGTCCTCCTGCTGCCGCTCCTGCTCCTGACCCACCTCCTGCTCCTGATTCAGCTGATGCTCCTGATGCTGCCACTACACCTCCTGCTTCTCCTCCTCCAGCTCCGCCTCCCTCCCCCATCGCTGGTCGCACCCGCTCGCACAAAGCTCCCAAGCCTCTTTCCCTTTCCATTCGTGTCTCTCTCAATCCTCCTCCTGTCGGGGGTGATTATTCGCTCATGCCCTCCCTTCTTGAGGACAGACATGAGGAGTTGATTGACATTGACTCAGCCATACACGCGCTCTGCTCTCTCTTTCCAGATATCGCAGAATCTCCCACCCTCAACTTCTCAGACAGCCCCTCCATCCCCACACCTCTCACCTATGCTGAAGCAGTTTCTGGTCCTAACTCCGCTCAGTGGATAGGGGCCATTATCGCAGAGTGTGAGGCCTTCATTCACACAGGGACTTTCACAGATATCATTCCTCCCTCCGGCGTCAACATTGTGAAGGGAAAATGGGTTTTCCGGGTGAAACAACTTCCAGGCGAATTTCCTGTCTTCAAAGCCCGGTACTGTGCCAAGGGATTTACCCAAAAGCGTGGACTGGACTTCTTTGAGACATTCTCTCCCACTGTCAAACCTCCCACACTGCGCACCCTTCTCGATGTGGCCGCTCGAGATGACATGGAGGTTGACTGCATGGATGTGTCTTCTGCGTTTTTGCAAGGGATCCTTCGAGAGGAAATCTACATGGAGCGGCCCGAAGGATTTCCAGCTCCTTTTCCACCAGGCACTGTATGGAAGCTGAATCGACCAGTATATGGCCTCAAGCAAGCACCCCGGGAATGGCACAACAAGCTCAAGTGCACCTTAGGGTCCCTCGACTTTCACCCTTCCACCTCTGACCCCAGCCTCTTCATTCGAGCAACACCATCCCGCTTCTTCATCTTGGTTTATGTCGATGACATGATCCTTGTCACCAAGGATCAGACTGAGCTGGCAGTAGTCAAAGCCGCACTTGGTGAGAAGCTGGCCATGAAGGATCTTGGGAAGCTGACGAACTATCTGGGCATGGAAATCACACGTGATCGCACTGCCCGCACCATCACCCTCTCGCAGAAGTTCTACATCAACAACGTTCTGACAAGGTTCAAGATGCAGGAAGCAGCTTCAATGCCCACCCCACTCTCTCTGCAGCACCAACTCACTGCACCCTCTGTTCCTTCACCTGAGCCCTGCGATGAGGCTTACCCCGAGCTCGTTGGTTCCCTCATGTACGCGATGATGTGCACTCGACCAGACTTGGCCTATCCAGTCAGTGTCCTGTCTCGCTACGTTGCACCTGTCGCTTCACGAGCCACCACTGGTCTGCCGCCAAGCGGGTCCTCCGCTATCTCAAAGGCACACAGGACTATGTGCTCACTCTTGGCGGCTCTTCCCCTGTTCGCCTTGAGGGGTACAGTGACTCGTCCTATGCTGATGACCAGAGTGATCGGCGCTCTTCCCAAGGGTATTGCTTTACCCTTGGCAGTGGGGTTGTCAGTTGGCGCTCCACTCGGTCGTCTTCCGTCTCACTGTCGACCTGTGAGGCAGAGCTGTATGCAGGGACCATGGCTGCCCAGGAGGCCCGTTGGCTCTCCTTCTTGCTGGCAGAACTTGGGTATCCTCAACCAGCCCCAACGCTTTGGTGTGACAACGAGAGCACCATTCACCTCACCAAGGACCCCGTCTTCCACGGCCGCACCAAGCACATTGAAGTCCGTCACTACTTTCTTCATGAGCTGGTGCAGCGCGAGCAGCTGAAGGCAGAACACATTGCCTCCGACTGCAACCTGCTGACTTGTTTGCCAAGTCTCTTGTTCGCCAAGACCACTACCGCCTCCTCTCGTCCATGGGTGTTGGACCTCCATGTGGCTGAAGTGTTGTCAGCCTAGGGGGTGTGTTAGAAATAGTCAGTCAACACTTTGTACTATATTCTATATCGGTTAGGTTACTTTGTAGGTTGGGTGTAGATTTGTAATCCCAACCCTATCTGGTTGGGATTCCCTCGTAATCCTGCAAATCTGCCAACTCACCAATTGGAGATTTGCTAGGATTCCCATCCCATCCTCTCCCTAGCTTTGCTCAACCCAACCGTGTTTGTACTTAAGGCCTCGTGCCTTCCTTATCAATCAATCAGTTAAGTTCCAATTCTATCACTGGCCTGTTAGTCTGGCAAAGGTGGTGGTGCAGCCGCACTGGGTGTGGTGCAGCGTGGAGAGAAACGGAGAGGATAACAGTTGCCCCGTGGAAAGGCTACTGAAGATCCCCACAAGCCAACAGACTGGCTACCCGTTATTGGAAAGCGCATCTGCCTCCTACCTGTGCGCCTTGCAGAGGTGGTGCAGCTGCATTTAGTGTGGCGTGGAGAAGAGCTCCGAGACAACACTTGCCCTTGAGCTCACACACAAAGCACGTGTGTCCAATGGCTGACAGACAGACAGACAGACAGACAGACAGACAGACAGACAGACAGACAGACAGACAGACAGACAGACAGACAGACAAACAGACGGACGGACAGACAGACAGACAGACAGACAGACTGACTGACTGACTGACTGAGTGACTGAGTGACCGGTGCGCCTTGCAGAGGTGGTGCAGCTGCACTTGGTGCGGCGTGGAGAAGAGCTCCGAGAACACCACGCTGTCTCATGAGCACACACACACACACACGGCACGCTGCCAGAGGGACTCACGCACAAGCCAACAAGCTGCATAACCACTGTATGGTTCTAAGCCATCCCCCCCGCCCCCCTCACCTGTGCGCCTTGCAGAGGTGGTGCAGCTGCACTTGGTGCGGCGTGGAGAAGAGTTCAGAGAAGACATGCGAGTCCAGTGTGCCTGCCACTGGCAACAGGCTGAAGATGCCGCCCCCGCCGTTGTTCACCACCACCACTGTTACCGGCGGCTGCCCTGACCTGGTGGTGCACGGAGGGGTAAAGGGATGAGTGACAGGATAACTCTGTCATTTAGTCAACTGTTCCCAAGGTACTTGTTGCTTAGGCGGCTGTATTGGAGGCGCTTCTAAGGAGGCTGAAGATGCCACCCCTTCCATTGTTCACCACCACCACTGTCACCGGCGGCTGCCCTGACCTGGTGGTGCACGGAGGGGAAGGGGGATGGGGGAAGGATGTGTCTGTAATGGAGGTAATAGAGGCGCTTCTAACGAGGCTGAAGATGCCGCCCCCCAGTTGTTCACCACCACCACTGTCACCGGGGGCTGCCCTGACCTGGTGGTGCACGGAGGGGAAGGGGGATGGGGGACAGATGTGACTGTAATGGAGGTAATAGAGGCGCTTCTAACGAGGCTGAAGATGCTGCCCCCCAGTTGTTCACCACCACCACTGTCACCGGGGGTTGCCCTGACCTGGTGGGCTGAGGGGATGGGGGATGGGGGATGGGGGATGGGTGTGGGATGGGATGGGGATGAGAAGATGGATGGGTAGGAACAAAACAAGGAGCTGGGAGGATTGGCAAATGCGGCACAGTAAGGGTCATAAGCGTACAGCTCTGGGCTGCACACCACAGAGCGGCACAGCACAGCACACAGCATCAGAACACACCTCACCGCACCGCACCACACCACACCACAATACACCGCATTACCCCCATTTGCTACCGAACACACATACCGGGCAGCAGAGAGGAGAGCAAGCGAGTTGGAGTCGTGCAGGAAAGACACGTCACCAATCAGCAGGGACACCTGGAAGCACACAGGGCAGGGCAGGGCATGGCAGGGCAGGGCAGGGCAGCAAGGAGAAACAACATGGTTGCAGGACCCAGAAGTGGCGGCAAGAAACACAGGAGACCCAGCGTGCAGCGTGCAGCATGCAGCATGCCAAGCAGTTGCTGAGGCAACCTTTGAGTCGAAGCAAGAGTGTACGCTGCAGCGTGCATTGTGCCTACGTGTACGGAGAACAGAGCATGCTCACCGGTTGCTGAATGCCTGCTGCAAAGCCAACAGCCGTGCTGACCACTCCGTCAATCCCACTCGCCCCCCGGTTCCCCGCCACTCGCATCCCGCCCCACACTCTCTCCCCACCTCCCTCCTCCCACGTCCCCAAAAGCCTCTCTGCAGCTGCAGCACCATCAGCAGCAATAGCACCAGAACCAGCAGCGGCGCCAGCAGTAGAAGCCGCAGCAGCAGTGGGATGCGCGCAGTGAGGGGCAGAGAAGGAGGAGGAGGAGGAGGGAGCAGCAGCATACATGTCGATATCTCTGATGGGCATGCTGTTCCCCAGGAACAGGGCATGGCCGTCACGCAGGCATGCTGCCACTGTGCGAGCTACCCATGCTTCGTCGGGCACTTGGGAGGGGAAGTTCAGAGCGAGAGAAAGCTCTTTGCCAACCTGGGACGAAGGGATGGGGTAAGAGGATGAAGACGCGTCAGAATGGCCGTCAGGCAGGGATGCTGCCACGGTGCGACCGACTCACACCCCATCAGGCACTTGGGAGGGGAAGGTCAGAGCGAGGGAGAGCACTTTGCTAACCTGGGAGCAGAAATTCAAGGCAAAGGGACGACGCAGGCTGATTGTCCATCTAACCTCGTCAGAATGTCAGACAGGCAGGGATTATGCTCGGAACTTGGGAGCGTGGAAAGGACTGGGGCAATCAGTGTATTGCGGGGAGGTAAGGACGGATCACTGGCATGTAATCGGTGCCCATGGCATGTGCTGCGCACGCATATGGGCCCGTGCAGTGCATGTGTGCATACATGCTCATCCACACCCACCGCATCAGAAAGAAACTCCACCAGAGCTGCATGCCCCATACCCTTCTCCACAACCCCATCCCTCTCTCCCTCTCCTCCCCACTCTCCGTCTCCCGCTCCTCCTCCCCACCCTCTCTCTTCCACACTCCCGTCTTGCCCCATGAATGGCAGAGCAGTTGCGAGAGCAGAGGCGAAGGCAGGGAGAGGCATGTGGAGGCGGTGAGAGACAGCATGGGCAGGGTCAATGCGGCGGGGGGTGGGGTTCACGAGCACATAGGCACGGAAGGGGTGCGAGGAGGAGGAGGGGGAGGAGGGGGGAGCAGTGGCTGCTGCTTCTACCATTCCTGGTAGTCTCTTGCCCACCAGAGGGCCTCCTAGCTGAAAGGAGAAAACGGGGAAAGGTGGAAAGGATGGGAAGGTTTTGGTTTGGACTTCCCGCATTTGGGGTTTCGGGTTTGGGGTTCAGGTGCTACCTCCCATGGTAGTCATACCCAAATTTCGAGAAGACCATCTGGTGCTATAAATTGCCACCTGCCCATAAAGTCTCAGAGCTCAGAGCACAACAGCAATACGCATCCGGCCAGTCTTACCTGCCAGCCATGCTAGCCAGCGAGCCACTCTCATCAGTCATACCCTACCACCCTCTCACCTGTAGCACAACATCAGGAGCCACAGCTTCAGCTGCACCCTTATCCAGCAACACATGATCCAGAAAGAACGCCCCTACCATACCACTCTCTCCTCCACACCCACTCGCCGCCACCCCTCCTTCTCCCAATCCGCCTCTGTCTCCTAGCTCTCCTCCTCTCCCACCTCCCCCACTCCCCCTTTGTGTTCTCCACACTCGCAGCCCTGAGAGCGCGTCGGCAGCCACAGGCCATTGCAGGCACTTGCAGACGAGCGATGCCGCCCAGGCGTCGCGCGCGGACGGCAGACTGCCGACCAGGATGATGCCGCGCTTAGCTGAGCGCAGCAGAGACAGCACGTCTTGAAACTCGGCGCTTAGTGTAACCATGCTACTGCTGCCCACACTGCTGCCAATGCCTGTATCCCAGTGATTACCCATGCCGGTAGCAGTGTTCCCCATTCCTGTTCCCATTCCCTCTGCTCCTGCCCCGTTTGCTGCTCCTGCTGCCACACCAGCACCCAGAAAAGCGGGCAGGCCGAGGTGGCGCAGAGCAGAAGCAGGGAGAGAAGCAACAAAGGAATCGGCCTCAACAGCCGCAGCAACTGCAGCACCAGCAGTGGTCATCCCAAGCGGTTGAGAGAAAGGCAGGACGGAGGTTTGCCAACGGTGCAAGCCTGCCAGGCAGGTTCGGCTCCAGGGCTGTGGGCTGGGCGCCAGTGGCTCCCGGAACTGCCAGTTGAGATGCACCGGGCCTGGAGGCTCGGCACAGGCTCGGAAGGCAGCGGTGTCGATGCTGGTGAGGACGAACCTGATGGATTGGGATGGGAGGGGGGGAAGGAGGAAGCGGAGGTGTGTGGGAGAGGAGGGAAGGATGGGTGAGGGTTACGTGGGAGAAGATGGGTTGGATAGGCAACAGGTACTGCTTGATTTGGACTGCAGAGGTGGAGAAGGAAGGGAGGACGGTCTGATCCAAGGCCATTCCATATTGCAGAGAACAGAAACGAAGGGAAGTCAAAGGGAGAGAAGAGAAGGAAAGGGAGGCAGACCTGGCATTGACCTTGTCGGAAGGTGCTGGAACGTCGGCGTGATAGCGAACAAAGGAGCCGAAATGGTGAACCTGAAGAGCATGTGCGCAGAGGGATGGAGATGGGGTTGTAGACACGGAGGAGACAAGGAGGAGGGGAACAATGGGTTGGTTTGTTGGGATGGGGTGGTGGAGACAGCAATGAAACAGGGTGCTGAAACAGCGAGTAAGAGAAAGGGAGACCGAGGAGGGGGGAGAAGAGAGGGAAGAGGGAGGGAGGGAAGTATGGGCTTGGCACCTGGTCGATGGTCTGGTTTGCAGCTGTGTCCCGCAGCTCAGCGGGTCGATCGGCAGTGAGCACGAGCAACGGCACGTGCTGCTGACTCGCCTCCACCACCTGAGATTGTTCACGGGAGGAGATTGGTTGTAGTGAGTGCACAATGGGATGGTATGCGGTTCTGAGTGGCAGGGAAGGGTGCAAGTGCGGGGAGGGGGCACGGGGGCGAAGGCAGCTTACAGTAGGGGCAGGCAGGAAGGGAGAACGGCTCACATTAGGCAGGAGGGTGGAGACAGCAGTCCCTGAGGGCGTGATGATGTGATGATGGCAGCAGCTGCTCACCGCAGGCAGGAGGTTGGAGACGGCAGTTCCGGAGGAGGTGATGATGGCAGCAGGGCGACGGGCGGCCATGGCATAACCGAGGGCGTGGAAGGCGAGGGAGCGCTCGTCAATGGCCACCACGGTGGTCACATGCGCGTTCGTGGCCGCTGCTATGGAGAGCGGGGACGAGCGCGACCCCGGCGCTATGCAGAAGTACTGAGGACGGGGGGAGTGCGGGGGCGGGGGAGGGGGTGTGTGGGCGGGGGTGTGTGGAGCGGAGTGGGTGATGTGGGGGGAAGTGGGGGCAAGTGGGAGGGAATGTGGGGGAGAAGGTAAATAAGGCGCCTAAAAAAACACAAGGCCATGGGCGGGCAGATGGATGGACGTAGCCAAGAGTGTGGAGGCGAGGGAGTGCTCGTCAATGGCCACCACGATGGTCACATGCGCGTTGGTGGCCGCTGCTACGGAGAGTGGGGACGAGCGCGACCCCGGCGCTATGCAGAAGTACTGAGTGAGAAAGGGGAGCAGGGAGGGGAGGGGGAGTGTGACGAGCGTGTATGCGCATGCATGTGCGTGAACATGTATGTAAAGGTGCGCATGTGTGTATGTGTGTTGTGCGCACACATGCATGTGTATGTGTATGTGCATTGTGCATGAGTGTGCATGCCATGGGTGTGTCGGTCCCTGTGGCAACGACCCATCCATGCATGCATTCACCCACCCACCGTGATCCCAAGTCGCACACACTCCTCCACAGCCATGCGACACCACACAAAGTTTATATTCGGCTGCCCTTCCAAATCCACCTGCCCGGCTGCCACTGCTGCCCCCCCTGCTCCTCCGGCTGCTGCCCCTGCTCCTGCTCCCCTTCCTCCGCTTCCTTCCTCTCTATTTCCCACATCACCAGCGGCACCTTCCCCAGGTGAACCCCTCCCAGGGACAGGGGCAGGCGCTCCCCCTAGAAGTGCCTCAAACTGAAGGGGGGGGGCGTAATAATGGAAAGGGAATAAAGGGAAAACGGATCAGCGGAAGGAGAAGCGCGCACATGCAGTGGCTTATAGGCTGATTGAAGTCTACCCAATCGGCTGACCTTACGATACGGACGCCTTTCCCCCCGATAATTATCGCCCTTCACTCCAGCCTTTTTTGCCTCGGCATCTTTCGTCACTTCCGTTCCTGCATACTGCAACACTCTTCCCCAAAGCCCATGCGTTTGTTTTAAGTCGACTCGGGTCGGGACTTACCTGGCGAGTCTTAAGGTTGAGTTCACTCCACTCAGAAGCTGCCTTTGCACCCTTCACCACCCCCACTCCCGCATACAGCAACACTCGCCCACCACCCCCACCCTTCTTCCTCCTCTCCCCTTGCTCCTCCATTCTCTCCCCATCCATGCACTCAGGTTGCTCCTCCCATGGCGCCATGCTGGCTCCTGATTGGACGAGCGCCGATCGGATGCCTACTGCAAACTCCGAAGCATCGGCGCCGAACCACCCTACAGGTCCAGCGTACAGCCCTCTGTCAAAGGACTCTGAGGGTGGGAAAGGTGAAGGGATATGAAGGGCGGTGAGGACGGAGATGGGAGAAGAGAAAGGACAGAGGGTGGGGACGAGATTTGAAACGTCTCAGAAACCACCACCCTACAGGCCAGGCGTACAGGCCTCTGTCAAAGGACTCTGGGGGTGAGTGGGGAAAAGAAGATGAAGGAGGGTGAGGAGGGAGATGGGAGAGAGAGGGGGGCGGTTGAGGTTGGAGGGGAGGGGGAAACAGACTGGCAGGATAGGGAAATGTGCCAGGTGTATTCAAGAGCTAATGGGTCTGGATGCATGGCCATACGTGAACAGGGTGTGGAAGAAACGGGTGCTCGGTTAAATGAACTAGGCTGCAAGGACATGGATGGAAGGCATTTGCATGCAAGCACAAAAGGTGGGCGCCGCATGTGGTGGTGGAAAAGGGTGTATGGCCCATGGTGAGAAACACAGACAGGGAGGAGAAACCGGACATTTGACTTGATTGAGAGAGGGCACACCTCCCTGTCGAAGGTGATGGCTCCCTGTCGTAGGGGTAAAGGGTAAAGAGCGCACCTGCGAAGCGGATCGCCTCCTGGGACTGCTTCTGTGGATGACCGGCCACAGCTGGGGTTGGGTGCAGTGAGGTCAGCAGGTTGAACTGGCAGGGGCGCAGAGGGGGAAAGGGGCAGTGGTGACGGGCGGGAGGAGGGGGGGGGTGGTAAATAGGGTTGAGGGATATCACAGGATAAAACTGCATGTCTGCACCCTGCCTGAATCAATACAAAGGACCGTTTGAGAGGAAGAGAGTTGAGGGAAGCAGGTGAGCATGCGTGTGTGCCTCCTGGATTTCCAGGTCGAGCCATGCAGCCCTCGAAAGGAGGGACAGAGGTCAGAATCATCCTGTCAAAACAACAGCTGCTCAGCATTAGAAAGGATTCCTTCCAGCCATGAGCTGTCGTAGTGTCGAAAGCCTATCTCTGTGCCCCAACAGCCATTCTCCTCACTGCCTGCGGATGGCCTGGCCTTTTCTGGCAACAGGCGTTTTGATAGGAGGGTACGTGTGTGTATGAGAGAAGGAAGGGGTTAGGCAGACGTGTGTCATATCACATGTCCCGAGGCAGGTGGTGGGGAGGGGCGTGAGTGACCTTACCTCCCCTCCCCTGCAGTCAGCAAGAGGTGAATTTAAAGCTGGCTCTAGAGAAGTGGCTCACTGCTGACCTCGCCTGCGGTGCTGAAGAGGCGGCCGTTGATGCGAGCGTAGAGGTGCTGCACCCTGTGCTGTGATATGATCCGCTTGTACTCCTCCACTTGCACCCTCTCACACACGCCCTGTTTGCGTTGAGTGTTTGGCCATATACACATGCACACATGCACGCATACACGCATTGCCCCATGTACACAAGCAAACGCGCATATGTGCACATATGCAAGCATGCAGGCATGCATACATGCACAAGTGCACAGATACACACATGTGAGAAGACACACACACAACAGACACATGCACGCACATGCCACACAGACAGACGCAGAAGCACCCATTGGATGGCAGGTAGCACATGGAGAGATCGACTTGTGGCACATACAAATGGGCGTATGCTGCATACAAGGCAAACACATGCAGAAAACAAGCATACGCAGGTGCAACTACCGGCGTGCACTCAAACTGATTTTTGTGTTAACTCAAGAGAAAATTGGAGCTTACTGCTAGATGTCTGTGCACGCTCTCTCGCACGATCTCAAACTCCTCATGATCCTTGTTGCTGGATTGGGAAAGGAGGGGAAGGGGCGGGGGGAAAAGCGGGGAGAGGCAAAGGGAACGGGGGGGGGGGGGGGGATACATCTGAGAAGATACGGGAATGACTGGATATTACAGGTGGTACGACAGGGAATGACAGGGAACGGGGGGGGGGGGGGAGGGGGGGAGGACAACACACCGTAGTACATTGACACCACACCACACCACACTGCACCACACCACACCACACAGCACCACACCACGCCGCACCACTCCACACCGCTCGCACCTAAGCAGCAGGCCGAGCGCAATGCTGTGGTCCTCCGCTGGTGCCTGTGCTCTCGCCCGCGTTGCTGCCACCGCCTCACTCGTCACTGCCAGGCCCTTGCGCGCAAACAGACGCTCAGGCTGGGAGGGGGAAGAGGGAAGGGGTTGAGAAGGGAGTGAGGGGCTTGGAAGGGGTTTGGAAGGGTATTGAGCAGGGTTTGAAGGGGGGTCTGAAAAACTTGTTTGGGTTGCAGGGTAAGGAATGGCCGAGAGGACAAAAGAGAGGTGATGGAGGGAAAGGGGGGAGAGTGGGAGAGGGGGAGGAGGGGAGGGTGGGGGATGGGGAGGGGAGAGTAGCATTGAGGCGGAGAAAATAGGGCGAATGGAGAAGGTGATGTGAGACGAGGAATGTACGTGATTGTTGGAGCAGGAGAGCTTGAGAGGGTGAGAGGGAGAAGGAATACGAGAGAAAGAAGATGGGCGAAGGGCGAAAGGCAGCGAATGGAGCATAAGGGGAGGGCGAGGAGAAGGGACAGAGGGACGGACCGTGGAGGAGACAAATGCGCAGCCTGCATGGGGCTCCAGGAGAAACTGAAAGGCGCTGGGATCCCGTGCCTGATGAACCCATGGGTTCATGGATCAGTGGAGGATGGGCGGGTGGTGGTAGAGCGATGGGGAGGATGGATGAAGACGGGGAATGAGGAGAGAGAGGGAGGAGTGGCAATGAGGAGTGCGGGGGGAGAGGGGGAATAGGATGAGAAGGGAGACAGGGAAGCAGCTGAGAGAAGGGGCACGAGTTGGCAAGTCTAAGCCGTTTTCTAGTCGACTCGTTGACATTGGCGAGGCAGGCAAGTGTATGTGTGTGGGTTTCAAAAGACACAGCTTTCTGGTGTGGTGCAGCGCAATGCGCGAATAGTGGAGATGGATGCATGCAGTGAGAACGCATGCTTGTACATGCGCATGTGTCACACAGTCACCTCACCTGCAGTGCTCCCAGCAGCACAACCGGGTCAACCGGGTCAACGGTGGTCAACGCAGTGCGTCTAGCCATCACCACTTTAGACAGCGGCATCTGGTCTATCCTGCTAGGCTCAAGCATCCACGGCTTATCCCCCCAGCTCTGCTGGCTCTGTTGACTCTGCTGACTCTGCGTCCCAGCCCCTCCCTCCCTGCGCCCCTCCCTCTCTCCGCCCAGCGCTCCCTCCCCGTCCCCAGCTGCTCCTGCGCGCCCCTCTCTCTCGCCCCCCTGTGTGCCTCTTTGCCCCAGGCTTTGGAGTGTGCGCTCTACTGCCAGGTGCCATAGAAGCTCGTCAGGGGCCACTGCTTTGGAGGTGACTTGTGTTGAAACGCGCGGCGGATGGGGGGTGCTGAAAACAGGACGGACCTGGCGGAGGGAACATGTGGTTGGGGAAAAAGGGGATGGGAGAAGGGGATAGGGTTTGGTTGGGGGCTCGAGTTTAAAAACTCTGTCGTGTGAAGAATACATTTCGTCCTTGTTTTCTTTTCCAAAGATTCTAAAACACTCGAAAGAGGGATTGCCTCACTCACTCCATCCATTGTGGAGCTTCAAATCAACAGCCCTCACCAGAGACAGAGCCTGAAGCGCTGCAGTAACTGCCTCCAAAACAGTGGCCGCTGGCCGATGCCGAGACACACAGGGCACAGAGCTAGCTGTGCCCCCTGCAGCCGCTGCCGCAGGTGCCGCCGCTGCTTCTCCTGGTGCTTTTGCTGGTGCTGCTGCTGATGCTGCTTCTACGGGCTCTGCTGCATGCTGGAAGAAGGGGTCCCAGAGCACGTGGCAGGCGAGCACACAGCAGTCTTCACACTCCTGCAGCTCCACCTGCAGGGCAAGGGTGAGGGACGAGAAGAGGGTGGGGTGAAGGTTGCACAGCGGAAGGTGGGGTGAAAAGCGAGCGAGCGTGGGAGGGAAGAGAGTGGATGGGATTTGTAGGAGGGGAGGATTGGGCGTGCGAAGGGAGCTGGAAAACGCAGAAAGCCTGGGAGTAAGTAAGTACGAGAGAAATGGATGATGAGGAACCGAAAAGACGTGCCAGAATTCCCAAGACAGTCTGGCATGTCTCCAAGAGCAAGCAAGCACTAGACAGTCTGGCATCAGCTGGTAGACGTACGAGGGGGATGAGGAAGAGGAAGGTGCCGAAGGGGGCCCACTCATGGGCTGTGGGAGCGTCTGCATCAAAGCGAATGCCCCCAAAGAAGCGCACGCTTGGGGATGAGTCTGAGAGGTACCTGTGGGCGAGCAAGACGAGAATGACGGTGGATGGGGTGGTGGGTGGGTGAATGTCATATAGAAAAGAAGTGGACTGATTAGCAAGAGGGTGGATGGGACGTGTAGCAGTGGTGTGAGTCAAGACCCAGAGGGCTGGAGGAAACTGCGACGGATTTTTGTATATGCATGGGGATTAAGGGCACTCAGAGCAAGGCTGTGAGCAACAAGAGCTGTGAGCAAAGGGAGGGATTCTTGGGTGTATGAGTGCAAAAGGAATTTTCCTGCACACAACAGCAGGGAGTGCGAGGGCAAGACGCACACCTGCGGATCTGCCTCCAATGCCTTGCCTTGAACCCCTCACTCTCCCCCTTCAACATCACAGCTGCACCCACACCCGCCACTGAGCCTATTCCTGAGCCATCAATGCCGGACCAGCTCGACCCGTCCGGCGCAGGCTCGGAGGGTGCCTGGGCGGAGAGGGAGCGAGTGCCCCTAGGGGCCCGGGGGGAGAAGTAGATGCGGGGGGAGAGGCCATGGGGAGGGGAGGGGGAACTGGACAGAGGGGGGTTCTGGTTGGCTTGCTGTGCTGCTGCTTGTGCTGGTGCTTGTTCTGCTGCCTGTGCTCTTGATTCAGCAGCTGATTGTTGCCCTGCTGCTGCTGCTGGCGCTGCTGCTGCCGGTTGTGGTGGTGGTGGTGCTGCTGGTCGCTGTGCTGCCAGCCATGCGAGAGCATTGAGGTCAGGAGGAAGAGGAACCTGATCGGTGGGCGACAGGAAAGAGGACAACACAGAACAGAGAAGAAGGATACGTTCTTCAGAAAGACCAGCATAGTCTAGATTCGGAAATGTTTCAGGCGAGGACAGGTACATAGAGCATAGTCTTGACCAGGGCAAGAAGATACTCTTAGAGAAACGAAAAAACAGAACCTTGTGCTTGTGCTTTTCTTTGATATGGATGTGCTTGTGAGTGTTTGACAATTGAACGCTCAAACGAAGCACGGTGGCTGGAATCAGCAGCAGAGAACGCAACTCGAACTGGACCACCTCAGAAGCAAAGCACGTGTGTTTTGAGCAGCACACGCACCTCAAATCGGATCACCCCAGAGGGGAAGCAGGGCGGGGAGGCGGCGAGGTTGGAGAGAGCAGCAGAGAGAGCGAAAATCGCATCAGGGAGCGACAGGACTGGCGGCAACCGGCGAGTCTCGTGCATGGACACCGGTACCTGGAGAGAAGGTGAATGGTGCGGAAGGAGTTTCAGGAGGAGATTAAGAAGATACAGACACTGTTGGAGGTATAGGAGATAAGAAGACACAGGAGGAGGAGGAGTGATCGCGCGGGGGGAGAGGGATAGTGGAGCATGGCTATTCTGTCCAGGAGAGAGAGTGAGGGCGGGAGACGCATGAGAGAGCAAAGCCAAGGGCGAATATACGACAATTCATTGCCTCAAGATCAGATAGTGCGTGTGGACTAGTCTCGGTCACGCGAGCGTCGATCGCGCATACCTCCATATGCGGCGTACTCGTGCTGTTCGCCGCAGCTGCGCAAATCACCCGCAATTGGCTTCGCGTTCCCGCCGATCCCCGTGCTGCAATCCCCCCTGCGCTCCCCGCGCCGCATTGCGCATTACGCGCTCCGATTTCCTCGCGACGCCATGGATTAAAGCGGAGATGCTGACCCCAGAACGGCGATTGCGGGGATGCACGGGACGGAGTCAGGGAAACACGAGGAGACGCCACGAATGCGCGGGGATGTTGGAATTGTGAGTGTTTGGCTCTGGCTCCTTTTTTCTGCCTCTGTCCTGCACCCGTGAGGCTTTGTGCAAAGTCGGGGACGAGAGACGTCGGGGCGATACCGCTACACTCCATTTAGCTTTTGGACCTAGGAACAGCAAAACCTGGAGTTAAATCGGTCTATGGACGTGATAATTCGCCATCCACGAGGGGCTTAAATAGGTCTACGGAGCCGTTCGGCTAGGTGAATGTGACGTGCATTTGATACTCAGTTAGAGCATATAACGTGCTTTCCTCAGTCAGGACTAGTCCAACTTGGATCCGCGCATGAAGAACACGCGACGCGACGCTGATCAGGGAGTACGTCCAATTCCGCAACGCGCAGCCTTCTTGATCAGCATTGACAGAACCAAAGGGGGAGGCGAGCAAGGTAAAAGCGTATTGCTTTTAGGCAGCAAACCAGGCAGCTCGTAGCCTGAATCGGAGAAAAGGGAGGGACTGGCAAAGAATGCAGGCTTTTCGAGAATCTTAGATATACTCAGTCCGGTCAAGAGGGGTTTCACTAGGTTGTGGTTTATCAGCTTCGTGGTTTTGCATATTCCAAATTCCTGTCTGGGTTCAGGAAGGGAAGCGCGGGAAATTGGAAAAGGGCAATTTCAAGAGGGCTAGCACACGTCAGCGAAATTGCAATCCTGGCATTATCCTTGGCTTAGGTTTTCCATACGCGATAGAGATTGACTGCATTTGGAATTTACGTTTAAATGAATGCGTAAGATCAGGTATGTGCTAAAGCAGAGCCATATAATCCCCCGCCCTGGGAACAAATCCTGCTTCAAGATGATAGTGAGTAATACGAGATATTACAGGCAGGTGATTAACAAGCAGTGGTATAAACTTTATTGTTCTTCACTGCTTGATTTGCTATCCTTGCGACCCTTCTTTGACCCCTTGGCTGCCTCCTTCACCTCTCGGTTGATTGTGCGCAATTGTGAAAGCAGCTTGGTTTGAGGAGGCTTCTGTGACTCCACATCTACCAGCATGCGGTTGAGCAGGTGAAAGAAGTAGCTCCCTGCAACGAGGTACTCCTCATATGCCGCTAGAGTTTTCGCACGGTCTGCGGGCGTCTTATCGCGCAGAAGCTGAAAACAGCAGGAAAGGAAAGCCACGAGAAGAACAGGCAAGGCACGTTGGTTGGAACGCTGTAATCGTCTATGCCAAAAGCATAGCCGGCTGCTGCAGCACAAGAAAATTGAATTACTGGGGTAGGGAGTCTCACCTGGTTCAGCATGCGAATTTCTGGTCTGAGTGTCTTTTCTTTCTCCACCATGGCCACTTTCAGCACTGTCTCCAATTGCTGCACCACCTCAGGGTTGCCTTCCTTACGAGCCTGGACACAAACGGTACAGCAATCACAGATGCAAGTCAGCTTCCCACCGCAGTTGTCTTCCTCCTCAATCAATCACTCTCGCATCCACTCACTCTCCACTTCCAATCCTTGCTTCCCTTCCCCTTCCTCTATCCATCCCTCCATACGTCAAACTCTCAACACCCTGTCCCCCAATCAACCTCTCCCTTCATCTGACGGTCAGCAGAGAAAGGGAAAAGAAAGACGATTACAGCACATCGACGGTCCTACCATGTCCACGTAGGCGGATGCAACCATGAAAAACTCCTCCGACAGGTCGTCCACGCGCTCCCGTACAGTGGCCTCCAGCTCCTTGGCCTGAAGCAGCTCCGCCAGCACCCTCGTCGCATCCACCTGCACTCGCCGCGACTGCGAAGCCATTTTCTCCCCTGGGTGATGCAGGCAGAGCAGAAAGATGCATGGCAGGGTAGTGGCAGGAGGGTTGTTTGAGGAATGACCAGCCACGGAACAGGTGAGCTACCGCTGTTGTTGTTGGAGGCAGTGTCAGATTTCTTATGGATGGTCAAGAATGATTGATGACCTTGCATGTGCGTCGTGTGCTGGGACGGAACGGTCAAGTGTGACTGCACCTATAGGTGTCTAATGACTCGTATCCGGTGTTAACGTGTTGGTATCTTCGTCTCGAAAACAGTAACTGTGACAAATCATCGTCATCTAACACGAAAACAACAAATTGTGTTGATTCTCCGTCTCACGACTACTAAATTGACATAATGCCAAATATTTCTTTTCTGCTTGTGTATATGAGGCCGAGGACTCGTACTTCCACGGAATTCAAACTCACCACCAGCAGAAGCATGGCAATTCACAGAACGCGGAGCTGACGTGTCACTTCCACCACTCAGCCGCTGCCCTTGGCCACTGATTTGCTTGAGTAAGCCATGGTTTCCCGACGCAAAGAATGCCGTGGAAGACTGGCGGAGGCTGCGTGACTCAATCGACAAACGCGACCCGATCGCCGCGGTAGAGCAAGCTCTATCCGCGAGAAAGCCCACGGTCGTAGTGAAGGCGACAGCCATTGCCAGTGCCCAGGCGAGGGTGCTAAAGCGAGGTCACGAATGCCAAAGCAGGTAATGTGCGTGACAGGTCAAAATACTCGAGGTATGAGATAATACCATCAGATTCTTCAAGAAGACCTGAATCTGTTCAGTGGAGATCGAAGGTGAGTAAAAATCGAAGAGAGTGAATGTGATTGGCATAGCTTGTTGAGAGTGATGAGCAAGCAGGTGAGTGTGGGGGGTGAATGAATGTGGAGTCAGCAAGGTGACCTGGCGGCGGTTTGCTGGGTGGCTTGCGAAAATAGTTTTCCACGTGGCGGAAGAAGAGGCACCGCTGGTGAAAACCCTCAGATTGAGTAATCGATGCCTTTTGTTGTATTGCAGCTGTACTTGCATGACTGACGTTTGTTTGTCTATAAGGAATGCATATATAGCTCAGAAATCTCGCAAATCTATTATGAGTAATATCTGAATACATAATGGATGTTATATTCTCCAAAGTTTTTAAATGGAAGGCTACATGCGTACAGCGGAGTTATCTTCCCTGTAAATTGGAAAATGGCAGAGTTTGACCCCGTTGGTGAAAATCTAAGACTTTATGGATTTGACTAGCAAAATCTGAAACAGTCGAAGAACACGCAAATGCGGATCTCTACCGTATGACTACATCGGGCGGACAATTACGAGGGAGCAGGGTCAATGGCTGTGTGCGTGTGTGTTCTGGGGTTGCTACCACCAATCAGGGACCAGAGAGGAGGCCTTTCAGTCTGTCTCTCCTCCTCCCCTCCCCCACTCCGCCTTCCGCCTTCCGCCTGCCCCGACCGCCTGTACTTCCTCCCGCTTGCTTCCTCGGGTGATTTACCCTCTGCTCCACCATAACCCTTGCTTGCCTGCTTCCGCCATTTTTGTTCCCGCTCCATCCCACCGCATCAACCCGCACGCACTTCGCTCCCACGAGCTCGCCTGCTCTCCTCGCCTCGCACTCGACGTCGTCGCCATGGCCGCCGTTGCGAACTCCGCGCGCCGCGTGCTGACCGCTACGGCTTCGGAAGCCAATGTTGCTGTGCGTCGGTTCCACGCGGCACCGACTCGCAGCGCTGCAGCGGGATCTGGAAATGTAGGTCGCGGCTACAGTGCGCACAGCATGCGGATCTTCTGTTTAGCTAACAGTTACGCTTGTTTGACTCACCTGCGTTCTGATTTTTTTTATTTCTTTCTTTCTTTTCTCCTCGATCAATCCATCTTCCACCAGGAGCCTGCCTACCTTCATGCTCACCACATGTACGACATCCCCTCGGTACGTCCTTCTTCCCTAGCTGCGTGAATCACCGTATCTTCCTCGCTATCTCGTGTCTTTTTGTCCTTGGCACTTCTCAAGTTCCGCACATCGATGTCAATTTCTCTCCCACTATCATGTTAACCCGGCATCGTTGTCAAGCCTACGTATCTTCTGTGAATCTTGTTTTGGATCTCTTCTGTGTGATGCGTGCATCGATCTCTTCGTTCAGATCAAGAACCGCAAGCTGAAGTTCGGTGTTGCAGTCGTCGGCTCTGTGGCCTTCGGTATAGCCGTTCCGCTCATCGCCGTCTGGCACCAGCAGTACGCTTCCCCCCTTCCCTTCTCTTCCCCTCCCCCCCTCCCCTTCCCCCTTCCCTTCCCTTCCACCCCTCCCCTTCCCTTTCCTTCCATTCCTTTATCTTCCCTTCCTCCCCTTGCGTTGCCTTCCCTTGCCTTGCTTGCCTTCCATTCCCTTCCCCTCCCTTCCTTTCTCTTCCATTACCCTCCCCTCCCTTCCCCTCCCTTCCCCTCCCGTCCCTTTCCTTGCCCTGCCTTGCCTTGCTTTCCCTTCCCTGCCCTTCCCCTCCCCTCCATTCCCTTCCCTTCCATCCCAACGTTTCGCTTGTTTCCCTTCCCTTCCATTCCCCCCTTCCATTTTATTTTCTTTCCCCCTTCCTGGTCCCGCTGTTCTCATTTTCCCGCTCATCCCCTTACCTTCCCTCTCTCCCATCTGCTCTGTTTGCTTCAGGATCAAGGCTCGCGGCTGAAGTGCTGGGCTGGGCTCCACTGCTGCTTTGATGAACCTACCGTATTTGAGAAACCACAGGAACTAGCTGTAATTGTAGCAGGTTGAGATAAAAGTCCAATGCTTGATAAAGGTCCGACTCTCGATGCAGCAGTGTATATTCTGATCAGTCTCCAGTTGGCGGATTTCCCCCTTTCTTCGGGTTCATGTTCCTACCCGTTCCAAGCTGGCTTATTTTTGTAGCATACATTAAAACTAAATTGTTGAAGAGTAATAAGTGATTTCCACGTATCGAAGCACCAAACATCGAACAAGAAACATCAAGCCGCGCCGTCCCTTGGACTGGCCCCATTTCTCAAAGCACCATCCTCTGTTCTGCTCCACACTCCGTCCCAGCAATGGCAACCGCCGAAACCGCCGTAGCAAGCGGGCTACCTCCCCAATGGCAGCGCTGGTTCGACAGCCGTCTCGCCGCGCTCCACGCGCACTCCCTTCTCCGCCGCCTCCGGCCCATCGACCTTATCCGCGCGCCTCTTCCGCTCCCCTCCGCGTCGATTCCCCCCGGCGCGTCGCAATTGTTAGAGGGCCCTACGACAGCAAGGGCCCTCGATGACCTTTGACTTGGCAGGTCGGCGCCTAACGACTGAGTCTACTCGGCACCGACGCACGAGTTCGGTGGCGGTCATTAGTGACTACGGGTGACTGTGAGCTACTGCAGCGAACTCGGCGGAATCGGTGCTAGGAATGACGAGTCTTGGGGGTCGTAGGTGCCTTGCTTGTGAGGCACGCTGCTCACTTGCTGTGTTGGCAGGAGTAGCGTGCACGGCGAGACATTCCGGTGCCGAGTTGGGTTGGAAATGTGCGGGGCGCGTTCACCCACCTGCACAGCACTTTCGTGTGGGTTGGGTTACTCGCAGCGCCACGCAACAATTGTGCAACTCTTGCTTGCCTATATATGTTTGTGTTTGCTTGTGTGTTTGATAATTGATATTGCTATTCTACTTGGCCCAAATGCTACTTCAATTCTCACAAAGTCCTTAGAGGCAAACGCTACCAAAACTCTACCAAGTTGCTGGCGCAACATCATTCCCATAGCAGAGACTCTCTCGCTATCGCTACGCTCTCTAATATATTCCTTCATGGTGCGGTGAGCGTGGAACGAACACGCATAGATTTCCGTCGACGTTCGTTAGTATACTCGCCTTGGCGTGCGGCGTTAGTGAAGGGCGCTCATTAATTTAAGTTGAACCTCTCTTAATTTCCCTCCAGTTACGTTCTCGGACCCAAGGATAGGGCGCTTGGTAATTTATTACCATTCGTCTGAGGACCCTTGTGAGGTGACCCCGAGACGAGGGATTCAAGGAAGGGACAATTTAGTTTAATTTGTGGTACCTTGTAGAGACGTCGTAGAGGATGAGTACGGAGGAGACGAACGTGGAGGCCGGTAGTCTTCGCGCACTAGAGGAGGATCTCGAGGCCCGTCATTCTCGTGGTGAGCTTAGTGATCTAGAATACGAGCTCATGATGGAGGGATTACGCTCTCGTCAGCGTCGCGACCATCCCTCGCCACGTGTAGAGAATGTTGAGCAAGCTGCGGGAGGTACTAGTGCGTGGGATATGCTTGGCGATGGCGGAAATAGCGATGACGAGGAGCTTGATGGGTTGATGTCGCGTGGGGTCCTGCGAGGACCAACTCGGTTTAGTACGGCTAGCGTCGGCGGTGTACAGGAGCGTGTTCATCGTGCAGCAGCGTCACGAGAGCATGCGAATGTAGGACGGCGGAGCGTTGCTGGAGGAGGAAATGCGGAAGAGTACGATAGTGAGGCTATGCCGGGCGTTACCCCGATTGGATCGATGTCGAGGGACGAGGGAATAGCCCCCAACTATGGCTTCTTCAAATTCACTCCAGACAAGATCGTCGTCCCTAGGCCATTAGAAGGGCGTCACGACCTGTCGACGTGGACAGAATCGATCGAGCCGCAGCTTGAGATCGCTCAGTTAAAGCGATTCATAGATGGCACCACTCCCATTCCACCAGCGCGTGCACTTGCACATCTCTCTCAGTTCCGCGCGATGCAGTTGCTAACGTTCACCACCATTTCCCGATGCTGCTCCCCAACCGTACAGACGCCCTTAAGGCGTGCCGCTTCAAGGTAGATGCCGGCTTTCAGGCATGGCAGTTTATCATGCGCACGTATATGGCGAAGGACGACCTGTACATAGGTCAGCTAGAGCAGGCGCTCACTAACCTCGAGATGGGAGAGCATGAGTCCGCTACGTCCTATTGCAACCGTGCGCAGCAGATCCTAGTGAACCTGAGGATGGCCGGCGTAGATTACTCGCAGGCGTCGTACATTACTCACGTTGTGAAGGGGTTGCCGCAGCAGTACAACCTCTTACGCAGGATGCTGAAGTTGCCGCAGGTGCGCAAGGAGTTGGACGAGGACACCCTCGCTAGCTACATCATCGAGGAGGAATGTACGCTGGCGGCGGAGGGACGAAAGGACCAATTCCTTCCCCAGGCTAACCAGGTCTTTACCAAGAAGGGTAAGCCCCAATTCCAGCAGACTTCATTCCCTTCCCCTCCCACTACGGCACAGCAGCAGCAGCCTAAGACTGGGGGTGGGGTTGGTGGGGGAGGGGAGAAGTGGAAAGGGGGTAAGGATGGCCAACCGAAGGGGGGGAAAGGGGGCTTCAAGAGGAAGTGCTATGTGTGTGGACAGACAGGGCATGTTGCTAAGTACTGTCAGCAGCGGGCGGATAAGGAGGCAGACACTAGTGGAGAGGGTTCTGGAGGTAGCAGCGGAAAGGGGGGTGATGGCTCTAAGGGGAGCGGGCAGTCATCATGTGCGATGGTGAAGCCCGTTGTGGAGCAGACTCCTCTCGTTGTGCTAGAGCCTGAGGCCGGGGAGGGCTTACAGGCTGTTGCAGCTGCTGTGAAGGCGAACCCGAGCGTCGTGCTGCTTGATAGCGGATGCTCCCACCATCTCATGGGAGATCGTTCTGCCTTTATGGAGATGAGCAGCGGCGGCAGTATTAAACAGGTTACCGGCTTCAACGGCGCTCTTCAGGAGGTGCAGGGGCGGGGCACAGTCGCTCTTCTTGGAGAGGGGGGCAGGCGTGTCTTGGTGCCGGACGTGCTGTACGTACCAGGAGTGCAGGCGAGTCTTCTCTCTGCTGGGCAGCTGCGTGATAGTGGTGTGCAGCTGCTGGATGCCGGGGATGTGACTTTGCTGCGGGCACCAGATGGATCGCTCCTTGGTCGTGCGGAGTTCAAGGGGCGTGTTCTCTGCACGAACTTCCAGCCGTGTTCGACGCAGCAGCAGGAAGGCGAAACGGTGGCACTTCGTACCTTGGCGACGGGCGTGCGGTCTAAGGGGGACCTGTGGCATGCGCGTATGGCACACGTTGGTATTGATGCCATCGAGCGCACAGCGGCTCACGGGTCAGTGAAGGGCTTGGATTTGGAGAAGGGGGGCAAGTCAGGCATACCTTGTGTCTCCTGTGTTGGGGGAAAGATCACTCGTCATACCTTTCCTTCTGTGGGAGAGGAGGAGGATGAGTTGCTCGGGGTGGTGCATGCTGACCTGTGTGGCCCTTTCCGTGAAGCAGCTAAGGATGGCAGCTGCTACTTCTTGGTGCTGAAAGATCGCAAGACGCGGTTCGTCTGGGCCTACCCTTTGGCCAAGAAGAGCGATGCATTGGCGGCGTTCCAGAAGTGGCTCCCGATGGCAGAGAGGCAGTGCAAGACCACGGTGAAGGCGCTGCGCACTGATCGGGGTGGTGAATTCCTGGGCCACGACTTCACGCTCTTCCTCGACGAGAAGGGGATCATCCACGACCTCACGTGCCCGTATACGCCGGAGCAGAACGGAATGGCCGAGAGGGAGATGCGCAGCATTGTGGAGGCGGTGCGGACGATGTTGCTGCATATGGGTGTGCAGCATCACTGGTGGCACCTGGCGTTGGCGCAGGCCGTCTGGGTGCGCAACCGCGTGGAGCATGCCTCGCTGCCCTCTGGTGTGACGCCGTACGAGCTCGCCTTTCGACGCAAACCCGATGTCAGTATGGTGCGTGTCTGGGGCTGCATGCTGCAGTACATGGTGCCGCAGTCGCAACGTGGGGGGAAGCTGGCGCCCAAGGCTCGCTGGGGGTTGCACTTGGGGGTGTCAGCAGCGAGCAAGGGCTGGACCGTGCTGGACTTGGAGTCCAACCGCCTCATCACCACTGTGGAAGCTGTGTTCTATGAGACCATGTCTTTGGCAGGATGGAAGGCTTGGCATCAGCAGGAGCATGGGGGGCGTCCGATGCCCTATGAGCCCCTTCCCTCTTTCTTCCCGATCGCTCTAGACGAGGTGGAGGAGGAGGACGTGGTCGCACCTCCTGCTATGCCCTATGTCCCTACCTCGGTCCCCACCCCACCTCCGCCTTCAGTTTACCCTCGTGTGGTTCCCCCTGCCCCACCTTCTTCATCCTCACCCCCCTTGGCTTCCCCTCCTCCTCCTATTATCCCCTCTCCCCTTCCACCCTCCATCCCTCCTACACCTGCTCCACCCTCCTCTTCGTCTTCCACGGCACCGCCCGTTGGTGAGGGGGGGATAGTGGTGCCGCCGTCCATGGTGATCACCGACGGGCAGCGCCTTGTGACTGAGCAGCTGCAGGATGAGAGTAGTATGGATGGAGTGCAGCAGAGTGGGGGGATGGAGATAGGGGAGCAGCAGATAGAGGTGCAGCAGAGTGGGGAGCTGCAGATAGGGGAGGAGCAGATTGGGGACCAGCAGATGGTGGACCAGCAGCCAGGGGAGCAGCAGACAGGGGAGCCGCAGACGGGGGAGCAGGAGATGTGGGGAATTAGAGATGGTGGTCGTGTGTTGGTTTCTGGGACGACCACTGCACCACTGCGTCGCTCCACTCGCATCACTCGTGGTGTCCCGCCTGTTCGATACGCTTGGGCTGTAGTGGTTGAGCCAGCGGGCTTGGATGACGAGGAGGAGGACGAGGAGTGGACTGACCTGGACCCGGACGTGGCAGCTGACCCTGAGAGGCAGTGGGACATAGCGAAAATGACAGTGAAGGAGGCCTTGGGCTGCTGGAAGGGAGACAAGGTGAAAGAGGCGATGGATGAGGAGATGCGGAGCTTGATTGAGCAGGGGACGTGGGAGTTGGTTCCGCGTCCGCCAGGGGTGAATGTGATGAAGAACCGCTGGATTTTTAACACCAAGTTCCGACCAGATGGGATAGTGGAGCGTGAGAAGGCGAGGCTGGTGGTGAAGGGGTTCACGCAGGTGGCAGGGGTGGACTATGAGGAGACGTACGCCCCTGTGGGAAGCTATGTGACGGCGCGTGTGCTTCTGGCGATTGCAGCTGCACTTGATTTGGACCTGATGCAGCTGGATGTGAAGAACGCGTTCCTCCATGGCGTGCTAGACCGAGACCTTTACATGGAGCAGCCGAGCTACTACGAGGATGGGACTCCTCGTGTATGTAAGTTGGTGAAGAGCCTGTATGGGCTCAAGCAGAGCCCGATGCTATGGTATGAGGCCTTGGATGGGGTGCTGCTTGGGGCTGGATGGAAGAAGAGCAAGGTGGATGAGGCTCTGTACTTCAAGACTGATGCTGAGGGGGAGATGTGCTGGCTGCTGGTGTATGTGGATGACCTGCTTGCTGCCAGCCGCAGTCAGAGCATGCTAGCGGAGCTGCGTGACCTGCTGCAGAGTGCCTTTCAGCTGCGGGAGATTAGCCCTGTGGAGAAATATCTGGGGTTGCAGCTGATTCGGGACAGGCCCACGAGGAGGCTGTGGCTGCACCAGGGGGCCTATGTGGACAAGGTCCATAGGCGCTTCTTTGACGGGGAGCAGCCGCTGCGAGTGCCTCGCACCCCTCTTTCCTCTGACCCCTTCAGTGTGCAGACCTTCGAGGATGTGGGATGGCAGTCTCGCCAGGAGGAGGAGTACAGGCAGAAGGTGGGATCCTTGCAGTTCGCGGCCTGTACCACCCGTCCCGACATCTCGTTCGCCTGCAGCAAGCTGGGGTCGGGCCAGACTGTGCGGAGTGATCAGCACTGGAAGGAGTTGGACCGGTGCTTGACGTACTTGGTGGGGAGCAGGGATGTGGCGCTGGAGTTTGGTGGTGGGCCGGAGTCCTTGGAGCTGGTGGGCTACGCCGATGCTGATGATGCAGGGGACAAGCAGAACAGGACCAGCACAGGTGGCTATGTCTTCGTGCTCGGGGGTGCTGCTGTCTCATGGGCGAGCCAGCGGATTCGTTGCGCCACCCTTTCCTCCACTGAGTCTGAGTACGTTGCTGCTGTGGAGGCTGGGAAGGAGGCGCGCAGGCTGCGCTTCCTGCTGGCAGAGTTTCAACTGCTGAGAAGTGAGGAGCCCACGACTCTCTTTGTGGACAACTCCTCCGCCATTTCAGTGGCAGGTGGCATGGGGCTCAAGGGGAGCCTCAAGCACATGGAGCGTCGTCACATGTGGCTGCAGCACATGGTCAAGCGCAGGAAGCTGCAGCTGCAGTACATCCCTACGAGCGAGCAGCCTGCTGACTACCTCACAAAGGCATTGCATTTCCCCGCCTTCAGTCGTTGCTTCGAGGCTGTGGGGCAGGTGCGGCTCTCGAGCGAGGGGAGTGAGACCTAGACACTCCATGATGTGGATGGTGCCATGGCCTATCCATGGCTGGTGCGGTGCGTGTTTACACTTTGAGCGTGTTTCGTTTGTGTGTATCCCTTTGTTTTGGTGTGTATGTGTGTATGCATGCCCTGTGATTATAAAGGGCCTTGCTGTAGTATGGCAGGGGAGTGTTAGAGGGCCCTACGACAGCAAGGGCCCTCGATGACCTTTGACTTGGCAGGTCGGCGCCTAACGACTGAGTCTACTCGGCACCGACGCACGAGTTCGGTGGCGGTCATTAGTGACTACGGGTGACTGTGAGCTACTGCAGCGAACTCGGCGGAATCGGTGCTAGGAATGACGAGTCTTGGGGGTCGTAGGTGCCTTGCTTGTGAGGCACGCTGCTCACTTGCTGTGTTGGCAGGAGTAGCGTGCACGGTGAGACATTCCGGTGCCGAGTTGGGTTGGAAATGTGCGGGGCGCGTTCACCCACCTGCACAGCACTTTCGTGTGGGTTGGGTTACTCGCAGCGCCACGCAACAATTGTGCAACTCTTGCTTGCCTATATATGTTTGTGTTTGCTTGTGTGTTTGATAATTGATATTGCAATTCTACTTGGCCCAAATGCTACTTCAATTCTCACAAAGTCCTTAGAGGCAAACGCTACCAAAACTCTACCAAGTTGCTGGCGCAACATCATTCCCATAGCAGAGACTCTCTCGCTATCGCTACGCTCTCTAATATATTCCTTCAGCAATTTCCCGGGAAATCGGCGGAAGGTTTTGCTCGGCCAGGGGAATGGGGGGCTGGCGCACGGGACAGGGGGAACGGGGGGAAGGCAAGTGCAGGGGAGGAAGCGGACGAGGATTCAGTTGAAGCGGCATGGTGGGATGTGGCTGCAGTGCAGGTTCTTATATCGGACGAGGCGTTTCAACGATGGCTTGACGAACCAGCGGGAGATGGCGGGCAGTTGTTCCCATTACCCTCTACACAATCACACGGAACACCCAACCTTCCACCATCCGCGTTTTCCGCCCCTTCCAAGCCTTCCCCTTCCTCGAATTCCCCTTTGTCGCCTCCCCCTTCCTCCCCTTCCGCGCCCCCTCACCCTTCCCCATCCCATCATCCGCCCTCCGCCAGTGGCCATCCCTGCGCCTCCCCCCACCGTCTAGTCCTCTTCTCAGCTAACGATTACCTCGGCCTCGCCTCTCACCCGCGCGTCCGTGCTGCTGCCGCCAAGGTGTGTGCGTGCGTGCATGCGTGTGTGCGACTTTTGAGAAGCCTCGGAATTTGACCATCTCCGCCTCGCCTCACACCCGCGCGTCCGCTCCGCACTGCTGCCGCCAAGGTGCGTGCGTGTGTGCGTTTGTACTTTGTGCGTGTGTCTGCTGACGTCAGCCAGCAGATATCCAACCAACTGGCGTCTGTCTGCTTTTCCAACCGGTTGGTTTGTGTTTGAGCACAAAACGAATTTCCCCCCATCCAAGTCTCCTCAACCCCATGCAAGCATGTGAGAAAGGCATGGGACTGCGGGCAATGCTGAAATTTTTCGAAAAGCTCCTTTCGTTTCCTCTCCCCTCCCCCCCCCCCCCCCAGGCAGCATGGCAGCAGGGCATGGGTCCGCGGGCGTCTGCTCTGGTAACCGGTTTCACAACGGAGCATGAGGGTCTGGAGCATGATATAGCACGGCTCAAAGGCACACAGGTGCGTGCTCAGTGCCGTATTGTGCCCAGTCCTGCCATGCTTTGAGACATCTTAAAACTCAATCACCTGTCATACAGGCGAGTGAGCATGAGGGTCTGGGCTGGAGCATGATATTGCACGGCTCAAAGTCACACAGGTGCGTGAAGTGGGAGGGGCCTTCAGGGGGAAGGATCTTTCAACCTTGTGTGAGGTGAGGCTACAGCATCATTGCACAGTTGCTGGTAAGTCACTCCCCCTCCCTCTCTCTCACCCCCTCTTCTCCCCTTCAATACAACCAATTCCGCTTCCCTCATATTCATCCGCATCCTCCCCCGCCCCCCTCACCCCATCCCTCCCCTCTCCCATCTCCTGGGGACCCCCTTTCCTATGGCAGGCATGTCTACTCTGCCCGACTGGTTTTGCTGCCAATCTTGTTGTTCTTGCGTCTCTAGCGCCAGTCCCCCGCGCCAAGGGCAATCACAGTAGCAACAGTAGGAATGGCAGCGACAGCAATGACAGGAGAGAGAATGTGGCTATTGCTGCTGGATCTGAATGTGCCCCACGTAGTGAGAATAGTAGCAGCAGCAGCGGCAGCTTTAGAGGCAGTGGTGGTGGTAGGAGTGTGGGCCATGGGCAGGGACAAATAGAGAGGGTAGAGGAGGGCCGTGTAGACTCCTTGAGTTCAATGGGAGACTCCTTGGCAGTGTTTTCAGATGAGCTGAATCATGCCTCTATCATCGATGCCTTGCGCCTGCTGCTGCCACGCACAGAGAGGGGCGCAGAGGGGGGGCGGGCTGGTGTTGGTGCTGGTGGTGCTGCTGTGGCACTGCATGTGTATCGACACAACGACATGACGCATCTGGATGAACTGCTGTGAGTGGGTGGATGGGGAGGGTGATTTTAGTCGACTCAAAACGCTCACAGAGATGATGATAGTACCAGCATTTCCCTATTGGCGTATCCTGCAATTTTTCATTCTGCTTGGTGGTCGATTGTGCTTGGAGGCCAAAGCGTCCGCTTATGCGTTTCACCTATCGACTCCCTACATGTGGCTACCATTCTCCTTGCTCCTCTATCCCTCTCCCCCTTCTGATCCTCTTCCTTCCCACCTAACGCCCTATCTTCTCCCCTTTTTCTCCTCCTTCTTGCCTTCTTTGGCTCTTCTCCAACTTTCTCCTACCCTCGCGTACCCTCTTCTGCTCCATCTACTCACAGCACCGCATCATCTGCTACCAGAAAGCTAGTCGTCACAGACAGGTACTTTCTCTTGCTTGAAACACACGCACTCTCTTCCCTGCACATGCACTCCCCATCCCGCTCTCTCACATGTGAATTATCATTGCTTTCTACAAGGAGCCTTCCCTCCTCTCGTCCTTTGAGGTGCCTCAGAAGTCGCTCTCTCACATGTGAATTGTCATTGCATTCTACCCGGAGGAGCCTTCCCTCCTCTCGGCCCTCTCCAACCCCGCCTACCCTGCAGTCTATTGAACTATTCAGCACGCATGCTTGCTCGTCGCTGCCTCGTCCATCCCTTCAACTTTCATCTCCCCTCTGCACCTCATCCACCATCCCCCCTGCGGTCTCTTCAGTATGGACGGGGACTTTGCTCCTCTGCCTGCTCTCGTATCCCTCAAGGCCAAACGTTGCTACCTGTTTGTGCTCATTCCAGCCCTTTAACTTTCATCTACCCACCATCCCCCCTGCAGTCTCTTCAGTATGGACGGGGACTTTGCTCCTCTGCCTGCCCTCGCGGCCCTCAAGGCCAAGCACGGCTTTCTTCTCGTGCTCGATGAGGTTCGTCAGTAGCTACCATGCTCTGTGCCATGCCATGCCATGCCATGCCAGGCCATGCCATGCCATGCCAGGCCATGCCAGGCCAGGCCATGCCATGCCAGGCCAGGCCAGGCCATGCCATGCCATGCCAGGCCATGCCAGGCCATTCAAGGCCATGCCAGGCCATGCCATGCCATGCCATGCCATGCCAGGCCATGCCAGGCCATGCCATGCCAGGCCATGCCAGGCCATGCCATGCCAGGCCATGCAAGGCCATGCCAGGCCATGCCAGGCCATGCCATCCCATGCCATGCCAGGCCATGCCATGCCATGCCAGGCCATGCCATGCCATGCCAGGCCAGGCCAGGCCATGCCATGCCAGGCCATGCAAGGCCATGCGAGGCCATGCCATGCCAGGCCATGCCAGGCCATGCCATGCCAGGCCATGCCAGGCCATGCCATGCCAGGCCATGCCATGCCAGGCCAGGCCAGGCCAGGCCATGCCATGCCATGGCATGCCATGCCATTCCATGCCATGCCAGGACATGCCATGCCATGCCAGGCCATGCCATGCCAGGCCATGCCATGCCATGCCAGGCCATGCCATGCCATGCCAGGCCTTGCCATGCCATGCCAGGCCATACCATGCCATGCCATGCCATGCCATGCCAGGCCTTGCCATGCCATGCCAAGCCATGCCATGCCATGCCAGGCCATGCCATGCCAGGCCATGCCATGCCAGGCCATGCCATGCCAGGCCAGGCCATGCCATGCTATGCCAGGCCATGCTATGCCAGGCCATGCCATGCCATGCCATGCCATGCCATGCCAGGCCATGCCATGCCAGGCCCTGCCATGCCAGGCCATGACAGGCCATGCCATGCCTGGCCATGCCAGGCCAGGCCATGCCATGCCAGGCCATGCCAGGCCAGGCCATGCCAGGCCATGCCATGCCATGCCAGGCCATGCCATGCCAGGTCATGCCATGCCATGCCATGCCAGGCCATGCCATGCCTGGCCATGCCATGCCATGCCAGGCCATGCCATGCCAGGCCATGCCAGGCCATGCCAGGCCATGCCATGCCAGGCCATGCCATGCCATGCCAGGCCATTCCATGCCAGGCCTTGCCATGCCATGCCAGGCCTGGCCATGCCATGCCATGCCATGCCAGGTCATGCCATGCCAGGCCAGGCCATGCCAGGCCATGCCATGCCATGCCATGCCATGCCATGCCATGCCAGGCCATGCCATGCCAGGCCATGCCATGCCATGCCAGGCCATGCCATGCCATGCCATGCCATGCCATGCCAGGCCAGGCCATGCCATGCCAGTCCATGCCATGCCATGCCATGCCACGCCATGCCACGCCTGGCCATGCCATGCCATGCCAGGCCATGCCATGCCAGGCCATGCCATGCCAGGCCATGCCATGCCATGCCAGGCCATGCCATGCCATGCCATGCCAGGCCATGCCATGCAAGGCCATGCCATGCCAGGCCATGCCATGCCATGCCTGGCCATTCCAGGCCAGGCCATGCCATGCCAGGCCATTCCAGGTCAGGCCATGCCAGGCCATGCCATGCCATGCCAGGCCATGCCATGCCATGCCATGCAAGGCCAGGCCAGGCCATGCCATGCCATGCCATGCCAGGCCATGCCATGCCATGCCAGGCCATGCCATGCCATGCCATGCCAGGCCATGCCATGCCATGCCATGCCAGGCCATGCCATGCCATGCCATGCCATGCCATGCCAGGGCATGCCATGCCATGCCAGGCCAGGCCATGCCATGCCATGCCAGGCCAGGCCATGCCATGCCAGGCCATGCAAGGCCATGCCAGGCCATGCCATGCCAGGCCATGCCAGGCCATGCCATGCCAGGCCATGCCATGCCAGGCCAGGCCAGGCCATGCCATGCCATGCCATGGCATGCCATGCCATTCCATGCCATGCCAGGACATGCCATGCCATGCCAGGCCATGCCATGCCAGGCCATGCCATGCCATGCCAGGCCATGCCATGCCATGCCAGGCCTTGCCATGCCATGCCAGGCCATACCATGCCATGCCATACCATGCCATGCCAGGCCTTGCCATGCCATTCCAGGCCATGCCATGCCATGCCAGGCCATGCCATGCCAGGTCATGCCATGCCATGCCATGCCAGGCCATGCCATGCCAGGCCATGCCATGCCATGCCATGCCAGGCCAGGCCATGCCATGCTATGCCAGGCCATGCTATGCCAGGCCATGCCATGCCATGCCATGCCATGCCATGCCATGCCATGCCAGGCCATGCCAGGCCAGGCCATGCCAGGCCATGCCATGCCATGCCAGGCCATGCCATGCCAGGTCATGCCATGCCATGCCATGCCAGGCCATGCCATGCCTGGCCATGCCATGCCATGCCAGGCCATGCCATGCCAGGCCATGCCAGGCCATGCCAGGCCATGCCATGCCAGGCCATGCCATGCCATGCCAGGCCATTCCATGCCATGCCAGGCCATGCCATGCCATGCCATGCCATGCCATGCCAGGCCATGCCATGCCAGGCCATGCCATGCCAGGCCATGCCATGCCAGGCCATGCCAGGCCATGCCATGCCATGCCATGCCATGCCTAGCCATGCCATGCCAGGCCATGCCAGGTCAGGCCATGCCAGGCCATGCCATGCCATGCCAGGCCATGCCATGCCATGCCATGCCAGGCCAGGCCATACCATGCCAGTCCATGCCATGCCATGCCATGCCAGGCCATGCCATGCCTGGGCATGCCATGCCATGCCAGGCCATGCCATGCCAGGCCATGGCATGCCAGGCCATGCCAGGCCATGCCATGCCAGGCCATGCCATGCCATGCCATGCCAGGCCATGCCATGCCATGCCATGCCATGCCAGGCCATGCCATGCAAGGCCATGCCATGCCAGGCCATGCCAGGTCAGGCCATGCCAGGCCATGCCATGCCATGCCAGGCCATGCCATGCCATGCCATGCCAGGCCAGGCCATGCCATGCCATGCCATGCCAGGCCAGGCCATGCCATGCCATGCCAGGCCATGCCATGCCATGCCAGGGCATGCCATGCCAGGCCATGCCATGCCATGCCATTCCAGGCCATGCCATGCCATGCCATGACATGCCATGCCATGCCAGGCCATGCCAGGCCATGCCATGCCATGCCAGGCCATGCCAGGCCAGGCTATGCCATGCCAGGCCAGGCCATGCCATGCCAGGCCAGGCCATGCCATGCCAGGCCATGCAAGGCCATGCCAGGCCATGCCATGCCAGGCCATGCCAGGCCATGCTATGCCAGGCAATGCGATGCCAGGCCAGGCCAGGCCATGCCATGCCATGCCATGACATGCCATGCCATTCCATGCCATGCCAGGACATGCCATGCCATGCCAGGCCATGCCATGCCAGGCCATGCCATGCCATGCCAGGCCATGCCATGCCATTCCAGGCCTTGCCATGCCATGCCAGGCCATACCATGCCATGCCATGCCATGCCAGGCCTTGCCATGCCATGCCAGGCCATGCCATGCCATGCCAGGCCATGCCATGCCAGGCCATGCCATGCCATGCCAGGCCAGGCCATGCCATGCTATGCCAGGCCATGCTATGCCAGGCCATGCCATGCCATGCCATGCCATGCCATGCCATGCCAGGCCATGCCATGCCAGGCCATGCCAGGCCAGGCCATGCCATGCCATGCCAGGCCATGCCATGCCATGCCATGCCATGCCAGGCCATGCCATGCCATGCCAGGCCATGCCATGCCAGGCCATGCCATGCCAGGCCATGCCATGCAATGCCAGGCCATGCCATGCCATACCATGCCAGGCCATGCCAGGCCATGCCATGCCATGCCATGCCATGCCAGGCCATGCCATGCCAGGCCATGCCAGGCCATGCCATGCCATGCCAGGCCATGCCATGCCACGCCATGCCATGCCATGCCAGGCCATGCCATGCCAGGCCATGCCATGCCATGCCAGGCCATGCCATGCCATGCCAGGCCATGCCATGCCAGGCCTTACCATGCCATGCCAGGCCTGGACATGCCATTCCATGCCATGCCAGGACATGCCATGCCATGCCATGCAAGGCCATGCCATGCCAGGCCATGCCATGCCATGCCAGGCCATGCCATGCCATGCCAGGCCTTGCCATGCCATGCCAGGCCATACCATGCCATGCCATGCCATGCCAAGCCTTGCCATGCCATGCCAGGCCATGCCATGCCATGCCAGGCCATGCCATGCCAGGTCATGCCATGCCATGCCATGCCAGGCCATGCCATGCCAGGCCATGCCATGCCAGGCCATGCCATGCCATGCCATGCCAGGCCATGCCATGCTATCCCAGGCCATGCCATGCCAGGCCATGCCATGCCATGCCAGGCCATGCCATGCCATGCCAGGCCATGCCATGCCAGGCCATGCCATGCCAGGCCATGCCATGCCATGCCATGCCAGGCCATGCCATGCCATGCCATGCCATGCCAAGCCAGGCCATGCCATGTCAGGCCATGCCATGCCAGGCCATGACAGGCCATGCCATGCCAGGCCATGCCATGCCAGGCCATGCCAGGCCATGCCATGCCAGGCTATGCCATGCCATGCCAGGCCATGCCATGCCATGCCATGCCATGCCATGCCATGCCAGGCCATGCCATGCCAGGCCATGCCATGCCATGCCATGCCAAGCCATGCCATGCCATGCCATGCCATGCGAGGCCATGCCATGCCATGCCAGGCCATGCCATGCCAAGCCAGGCCATGCCATGCCAGGCCATGCCATGCCATGCCATGCCAAGCCAGGCCATGCCATGCCAGGCCATGCCATGCCATGCCAGGCCATGCCATGCCAGGCCATGCCAGGCCATGCCATGCCATGCCAGGC